ATGACGACTTAATAGACAAAAAATTTCAGAATGGCAATGTGGGGTTATTTGGCCGGGACTAGCGGGGCAACTTGGCCGGTGCCCTCAGAGTCACTATGCTGGGACGGCCGAGTTGTCATGGTCAATTATACCATAAAGGACATAATTCATGACCAACTTTGACTACCTTGATGCCATATTTCCTATTGGACAGCTTTAAGGGCATGTGACGTCATCAACGGTTACCTAACGCTTTTTTGCTAATAAATACTTACAGAAAAAAGATACAACCGCGCAAATGGTCTCATTGTGTTCAGTTCGTCAAGGCGCATCGAATGATATACATGATGACCTTGAACTCACGTAACCTTGAGGTCAAGCGACCTGAGGTAACGTGACCTGAAGCCAACCTTTGACCTTGACCTCTCGAGGTCAACACATTCATGTTTCGATGCGGAATGACGAGAGAATTACGATGGTACTTTTAGTTTTGGCCTAGCTTGATTACTTCAAAAGCTATTCATAAAAAACTGTCATCGCATCTAGAGCCGCTATTTTGACTATTTTCGACCCCTGTGACGGCTGAGTCAACCTCCAAAATGCTTCAAATGCGTCGTAGGACACGCGTCATTGCTGAATGTGAAGCTGACTCGCCGATAACAAAAATCATGGCCTCAAACTAACACCGGCCAAATTGCCCCACACCCTCGGCCAAATAACCCTGCTAGTGGGGCAATTTGGCCGCTTTGCAGACCTTTGTAATACGTCACAATTTCAATATAAGTAGTTACCCTATCATTTCAAGTTTACTGTCCAGGAAAATAAAATGTATGCCACACCTGTCAGCGTTCAGAAAATGCAGAAATGTGCTGTCGATTTTTAGTTACATCGTTTTCTAAAAAAAAGCGGCCAAATTACCCCACTCTCCCCTACGCCGCACTAAACCCTGGCCGCCGGTCAACCTTCGGGGTCAACCGTACCATACTTGAGAGGGCCCATATACCACTCATGCGAGGGCCTTTAGGTCAGCCTAAAGGCATTACCCGAGGCGCCGCCCCTGTGTCATGTGTGTACCGGTGTTTTTGGGCCGGCCCTGTCGAGCCGAGCTCCTGTTTGAGCCACTGTCCGTCCGAGTCACTTTCCAGCCGGGAGGTGGGGTACGATGAACTCAAGCATTGAAAACACGCTTTTGTTCAGAATTTTGGCTGCTCAGGCTGATTCAGGTTGTTAACGTGGAATTCGTTCGTCAGGATAGTAAACAGCTTCCAACAAAAAAGGTTACCTATTCATGTTACCACAAGAACAAAACAAGTCTTGCCAAACAAGTTACCACAAGTCTTGCCTGTTGTCGAACGGACCCCCTCGGTTTTTCGCGAATAACTCGCGTAAAGAGCGGCTGATCGCGACGAAACTTTCAGTACCCTCGCGTCAATCAATTTACACCTATCCTAAAAATTTCATGACCCTGACCCTAATGACCTTTGACCGGTGACCTTTTCGAGACCATGTTTGGCCGGAATCGCGATTCAGCGTATGTCGGCTCGTATTAGCCACGCGTTTGCAGTCTTTTCGTGGTTTCAAGCGTTCAAACATGGGATATGACGACGATGTTGCTCCCATGCATTAGGGTGGGTGTCAAGGTCACCGGAAGGTCAGGAAAGGTCATTGACCTCTGAAGACCTCGGTTCACTTTTTCGAGTTTTACATGTCTCTGGCTAGTTTTTGGAGCTTAATTCGGATTTAGCAACCATATGAACATTTACGAAGTAATTTTGGTGCCTTTGTAACATGTTACGAAGCTGTCAGAGGCGGTTGCCACCTACTACGAATACCCGGCAAAATCCTTACTGGTTGACCTGACCTGACCCGACCTGAGCTGGCCTAAATGCATGAAGACATCATCGATGATCATAACTAACATGATATTCGTGATCATCACCCCGAAAAACCTCATAGCAGCCATCCTTTCCGACGTTCTAATATTTCCCGATTTTCCCGACTTTTAAGTGATTGATCTGACCTGGACGGTTAGACGATGACCTGTGTGCGGCTTTTTACAGCGTCTAATGTGTAGGAGGGGAATCAGTTGGACTCCCCCTGCCGTTCGGCCCCTGATTGAGCTACAGCTTCGCGGAAAAAACGAGCGTGTTGCCCGTGACAAGAGGAAGCCGTTTATACCCAATTTCAAGGTCCTAGGTCATTGGTTCAGTGGCGGATCCAGGGGGGGGGGGGCTGCGGGGGCTGGCAGCCCCCACCCAAGGAAAACTGGCGCCACTGCGCCGAAGGCGCAGTGGCGCCAATTTTCAATTCGCAACTCATCGGAGTGCCGCATACTACATAGGACTAGGATGCAAAAATCAGTCGAATAACGTCGTTTCAGTACGCTCCGCACCGATATTTCCAATCGTGTGGTGTCACTGTACATACTGATCCTGGGCGCCTCTTGTCAGGGCCACTGGGCGCCAATATTTCAGCGCCAATACGATGCGACTATGGCGCCCATCCGGGGCGTGGCGCCCAATTATGACCTGCAGCCCCTCCCCAGTGAAAATCCTGGATCCGCCACTGCATTGGTTGACCTTCCAGGTCAGACCCAAAAGTCGGGAAAATGGGGACCTGCTAGAACTTCGTAATGTGAAGCTGTCATGGGGTTTTTCGGGGTGCTGATCACGAATATCATGTTAGTTGTGATCACAGATGTTGTCTTCATGCATTTAGGCTAGGTCGGGTCAGGTCAGGTCAACCAGTAAGCGTCCCACCGGCTATCCATAGTAGGTGTCAACTACCACTGACGGCGTCGTAACATGTTACGAAAGCACTAAAACTACTTCGTAAATGTTCAGCATGTAAAACTCGAAAAAGTGAACCGAGGTCATCAAGAGTCGATGACTAGACCTAACCTTCAGGTGACCTTGACACCCACTGTGATGCATGAGACGAACATCATTTCACATGTTTGGACGTTAACAATCACAAAAAGACTGGAAACGCGCGGATAATGTGAGCTGACATACGCCAAATCGCGATTCAGGCCGAACATGGTCTCGAGAATCAGGTCACAGGTCAAAGGTAATTTGGGTCAGGGTCATGAAATTTTCAGAGTAGGTGTAAAAAAAATTGAGCAACTCGAGGGCACTGAAAGTTTCGTCGTGATCGGGCGCTATTTGTGCGAGTTATTGGCGAAAAACCATGGGGGGTTCATCCGACCCCCCCTACACATGCGAGGGTTAAAATTGGGTATCGTCGGCTTCCTCTCGTCACGGGCAGCATGTTCTTTTTTTTCTGCGAAGGTCTAGGTTGATCAGGGGCGAAACGGCAAGGGGGGGGGGGCAACGGACTCCCGCCCCCTATACGTTCGTGGCTGGAAAAACACCAAAACGGGCGAGGGTTAAGAGCGTGTCTTTTAACACATAAGTTATTGTGTAGAAGGCAACGGTTGTGGGAATGGTAGGTCAAGGTGCAAATAAAGGCTTGCATAGTGTAGTGTCTGGGCCGCCCGCCCGGCGGGGCGCTCGCGGCGGCACAGCATGCCACAGGGGCAGACTGGTCAGCTGGGCGGCTGGGCGGCTGGGCGGCTGGGCGGCGCCCGGACGGGAGTCGCCGGCCGGGGGCTGAGAGGCGCGGAGCGCGCTGTCAATGTATCTCTTTTGTTATGTCTCTTTGAGTTCAATACCATCGTCTATGTGAGAAGACGTGACTGTGAGTGGCGGACAGGACGGCAGGACGACACTACACAATTTTGGCGACGAGGATAAAGGATTTGCGACTCTCCCAGCTTTAAGGTACAGTGCAGTCGGCTAAGATGGAGGGGATACGTCCGCCAGCTCCCTTGTTAGCCACCCCGGGCAAGCCGCTAACGTCATGGTCTGCTTGGCTATCAGATTTTGAAGTGTATGCCATGGCCATTGGATGGACTGAATGGGGAGAGCAGAGGCGTCAGGCACTGCTTCTCCATTGTGTGGGACAGGAAGCCAGGAGGCTGTTCAGGGCGGAGTGCCCAACAGGGGTCCCAAGTCAGGGCGGTGTTGAGCCAAAGTTTGAGGGGCGTGCGGCTACAATGTCACTGGTCGATGCCACTGTTCACGTATTGAGTCGTTTGTTTGAGAAAAAGTCAGATGTGATCACCGAGAGAGTTTTGTTTCGCAAATGCACCCAGGGCCAAACCACTGTTCGTACCTTTTTGGCGAACTTGAGAGAACGTAGCCAGAGGTGTGCGTTTGGGGCCCTTGAAGACGAAATGATCAGGGACCAGTTCCTAGAGGGGTGCTCGTCTGTTCGTCTGCGTGAACGTCTCTGCAGGGAGGATGATCTGACTCTGCCTCGGTTGGAGGTTATTGCCCTTGCAGAGGACCAGGCGCTGGAGCGACAGCAGGCGGTGGGACGCCTGCAGACTGCAACTGCAGAGTGGGAGCAGGCACCGGTCAGCGTTGCAGCAACGGCCATCAAGCGGTACGCTCACGGCACGCGCAGTATGACTCCCCTTTCAAGACGGAAGGTAAGCCCCTCTGGAGGGCGGGCTGGTACCTGTTTTGCTTGTGGACGTGTGGGTCATTGGAGTACGGATGAGCAGTGTCCTGCACGTGTCGCCGTATGTCACGACTGTCACCAGGTTGGCCACTTCTGGCGATGCTGCCCGAAGAAGGGGGAGAAGACTGCTGGAGAGAAGCCCGTCGCCAGCGTCCAAGTGCTGTCGGTTGCAGTGACGTCTCCAAGTGAAGACACTCGTCCGTACATCCAACTGAAGGTAGCAGGCAAGTGGCTGAAATTCGTGGTGGACAGTGGGTCAGGTGTCTCCATTTTGCCGTTGGAGCAGTATCAGGCTCAGTTTGGTAACTTACCTCTACAGCCAGCGCCAGTCAGACTTGAGTCCTATGGGGGTGCCGAGTTGCCTGTTGCTGGCGTGCTGAAGTGTGATGTTGAGTCACGTGGTCTGTCTGTGCCCGCCTCGCTGTACGTTGTGGAGGGATCGGTAGCACTGCTGGGTCGTGACTTGCAGAAGCTGCTCCAGGTATCAATAGTACATGGCAGTACGGTTTGCGCTGTACCTGGTCAGTCAGATGAACATGAAGGATGTTCGTTTCCCCGCATCACAGAGGTTCACAGAATTCGGCTGGTGGAGGTAGCAGCACCAGTTCAGCAGAAGCAAGAAGCTGACGTACACCTGAGTGAGCCGGAAGGCCAGGACGCCACCGGCGGCTGCGAGAACACTGCTGACGCACTGTCGCGTCTGCCAGCACCTGTGACGGAGGCAGCTGATGACGAGAGCATCGCCGTAGCAGCAGTTGAAGCTCATCTGCAGGCGGTGACGAGGGAGGAGCTGGTATCGGCATCTCGGTCGGACCCTCAGCTGCAGCAGCTGGCAGAGCAGATCCCACGGCCGTGGCCGAGGCGGTACGGAGACTGTCCGGCAGCTCTCAGGCCGTTCTACCGCTTCAGGGGGGAGCTTGGAGCTGTAGAAGATGTCTTGGTCAGGGGAGAGCGTCTGCTGGTGCCGACCAGCCTCCGACAGCGTCTGTTAGCAGCAGCACACGAGGGACATCAAGGAATAGTCCTGACGAAGCAGCGGATCAAGCAGCACTTCTGGTGGCCTGGACTGGATGCCGCGGTGGAAGAGATGGTCAGAGCGTGCGAGGTTTGTGCATCTTCCGACAAGACGGCTACTCCGAGGAACGCTCCGCTGCACCCTGTACCGCTGCCTGAAGGACCGTGGGAGAAGGTCGGGATCGACTTCATCGGGCCGATGGAGGGCGGAGGACAGCGGCAGCGGTTCGCCATCGTTCTGGTGGACTACTTCTCCAAGTGGCCAGAGGTTGGCTTCTGCTCGAGCCCGTCGACGGAGGCGGCGATCGAGTTCCTGGAGGTGGTTGCTTCCAGGGAGGGGTACCCGTTACAGGTGGTCTCTGATAACGGTACGGCTTTTGTGTCCGTAGATTTCACGGCTTACCTGCGGAGGGTCGGCGTTCAGCATGTACGGGTAACGCCGTACCACCCCAGAGGCGCTGGAGCGGTGGAGCGCATGAACAGAGTGGTGAAGTCCGCGCTGCAGACGGCGTCCAAGGAGAAGCAGGACTGGTCACAGGCGGTGCGCCAGTTCCTGAGGACGTACCGTTCGACGCCTCATGCAACCACCGGCCTGAGTCCGTCGGAGATGCTGCATGGTCGTCAACTCCGGACGATGCTGCATGCACCCACGCACCCTCCGGGTAAGGTAGCGGCCGACAGTGCCCGTACCAGGGACCGTGTCGCTAAACGGCAGAGGCGGCAGAAAGCGTACTGGGACAGGAGGAACCGATCTGTCAAACCGTCATTCAGTGTCGGTGACTGGGTGAGGTACCGTGTCATGCCTGTGCCCAGAAAAGGTAGAGACCGTTTTTCTGCTCCTCACAGGATCGCTGAGCTGGTTGGACCATCGGCGTACCGGCTGGACAGTGGAGCACTGGTCCACGCCGAGAGGCTGACTCGCTGGACTGGGTTGCCTCCGACCGCACTGGGAGACGCCGAGCAGCCGCAGCTCTCGGATCTTCCCGTCGTCCGCTCCCCGCCGGAGCCGGTCGATGAGCCTCCGGCTGAGGCCACGGCGGCGGCACGGACTCCAGAGCAGCGGCCGGAGCGTCAGCCCGACGTGCCGGGATCACCAGCTGCGGCACCCGCGGTGGACACAGCGGCGGCGACGCGCTCGCCGGCCAGTGAGACGAGCGGCTCCGGGTTCGAGGGTGCTCAGGGTGATGGGCACCGCACGCGATCTGGGAGACGTGTTCGTGCACCTGTGCGTTGGTGTCCGTAGGTGTGCCTTTGTGTAGGGGGGAAAGATGTAGTGTCTGGGCCGCCCGCCCGGCGGGGCGCTCGCGGCGGCACAGCATGCCACAGGGGCAGACTGGTCAGCTGGGCGGCTGGGCGGCTGGGCGGCGCCCGGACGGGAGTCGCCGGCCGGGGGCTGAGAGGCGCGGAGCGCGCTGTCAATGTATCTCTTTTGTTATGTCTCTTTGAGTTCAATACCATCGTCTATGTGAGAAGACGTGACTGTGAGTGGCGGACAGGACGGCAGGACGACACTACACATAGTATTGACGGCATCGGGTATTGACGATATTTCGGAAAGTTTGGGCCCATATCCTGTTTGGGCCCTTTTTCTGAAAACCTGCCCCCGCAAGGCCAAATCCGTGGCGCCGTCCCTGACTGCCACTGGATGGGCTTCTTGAGGGCATGACTGATGGGGTGTCACAAGCAACACTGGGTTCAGTGGGAGAGTCACTGGTATGATGAAGAAGAGTTCCCTAAAGTTTCATCAAAATCATTCATAAAAAAGAAGTGGTAGTATTTTTTTTTTGTGATGAGGCGTAAAACGCAATTTGTTCGAAAAATTTTGCTTCCATGACCCCCAATTTTGAACTTTTTGTGACTTTTATAGTCAATCTGAAAGTTCACGATGAGAGCAATCGAATGGCATTTGTCTCATTAAGATCATACACTTAGTTTTCGAAATATCACGGGGGCCAAATCGGCCCCCTCCACCAGTTAACGTAGTCCAGAGAGCTCACCAGTAATAGCAGTAATATTCACGATCGATGGCAACACAAGTCAAATTCCTAAAACCAGACGTTTCGGCCACAGGGTGCCTTCGTCAGTGGACACTAGTGATTAAATAAATTAAAAACACATAGTATCAAAAACAATCGGTATAAATCGTTCGAAGTCGACACATCGGGCACAGGTTTCGAAATGCATTCTTTGGTTCAACATTAAAAACCTAAATTGAGAACGGCATTCATCACGCTATTGTTCTTGTCGCGTTCTTTTGATATGCTGAAAAAATAAATTATAATTGTTGAGCTGAACGCAGTGCAGTGCTTTCATCACTCTACCATATCTTTGATTGCCATCGATCGTGAATAAAACTCAATCATGTCTGATCATTTACAATAGCAGTAATAGCATAGGTTAGTTCAGCAGTAGGTATACCGTATGTACAAGTATTTTTCGATCGGGCCGACGCTACGGTCACTAATTAAGAGTATGGAAATCAATATTTGTAATTTTTTAGATTTTAACATTTTTCCTCACAACCGGGCGCAAGGTTCGTGAGCCGAAAGTGTTATAGCGCCACAGAGCAGTGCATTTCATAGATATTTGAAAGCTGTTTCGCTACGTCGCCCTCAGATACAAAATCAGGTCAACGGTTTGGCCCATAGAGAGCGAAAGCCGCCAAATACCGATGTTGCCGAAACATTTGTTTACTCAACTTTTAAATTAACAACTTTATACTCAATCAACGTTTGGTACAGCTTTTGCAACCATTAAGCTTCTCTTGTCGAGACGCGTTGAATGATCATTAAGTGACCTTAGCTCAATATTTCATACTCTGATCAAGAACGGTCATGCTGCACATAACTTGATCTATATTGTTGAGCTGAACGCAGTGCAGTGCTTTCATCACTCTACCATATCTTCATCAAAAGTATTGTCGAACCCTTTGGTGACCTTTAGTGATACTTCTGGTGACGTCTACTGCCTCCTGACAGACCCACACGGCCCTACTAGTCACTGAGAGGCCAAACTGCTCATACGTCGGTGTCTAAGAGCTCCATGTCGCCGACCTCTGAGAACGACCCCACACCGGCTTTCGAGGCCCTACGTCGGTCCCCGTGTATGTACAGTGTACATGTTGCAGGCACTTTAGAAAATCAGTCATTTTGTAAAATGCCTAGGCATTTTGCAAAATGCCTGATTTTCCAGGCTTTTTGCAAAAAGCCTAGGCATTTTACAAAATGACTGACTCTCCAGTCATTTTGCAAAATGCCTAGTCATTTTACAAAATACCTAGCCATTTTACAAAATGACTGAGCAGCGTGTTGTAGATACGAGTACCTAATTATATACGTTTTGGTAGCGTGTAGGTGGACCGAGGAGTCCAGCATTATGACCAGAGGAGTCCAGCAGTGGGAAGTCCATACCTACCTCTCTCTATTTTGAGAAGTGCAGGCCCGCGACATTTCCAACCCCCACGTCAGCGACGCTGCTGGATTTAAAATGATCGATCTGGAGCGTCAACAAACGACTGGCCCTATGCCGGCCTGTATCTGTAAAACCATTAGAGGTCGCGAGGATTCGATCCCACACACTTAGGCGTTAGTGTCTTCTGAAACCAACGCTCTCGTCCTACGCCAAGCGACCTGATGATTCTCCCGATGTGGAGCTTGATATTTTTAACTGAGACCATGCATTAATCCATTATTATCTCATCCATGATATTACTAAATCTCCCTTACTCTCATGACAAGTAGGTACTCAAAGCTGTCAAAGACACAATCAAAGACTACACTCATTCGTTTACATGTAATTGTACACCAACTGGGCCTGCCTATTGACTAGGGCCGGTCTCCGGCTGGTTTTGTTAGGTCTAGTTTCAGGCAGAACATGAACGGCGTTGATGTACTTGGGAGTTTTTACAGCGTTAACTAAACAATGCTTTATGGTACAGCCGAGTCTGCAACTCAACCTCGTCGTTACTCAGCATTGTCGTCATCACAGAGCATCAAATCGATCAGCTACAGGCTGAACACGTACCTATAGGGTATAGGAAGACGTCCAAAAACTGTTGGCCATAGGATCTGTAGTGGGATCTACGTTCCATGCTGGTCAGGCATTTTGCAAAATGCCTAGTCATTTTGTAAAATGGCTAGCCATTTTGAAAAAAGCCTGGTTGCGTTCAGTCATTTTTCAAACAGCCGTCTTTTTGTAAAATGCCTAGGCATTTTACAAAATGACTGATTTTCTAAAGTGCCTGCAACATACATACCTTATCTTCGGCCTTAGATCCTTGAGGGCTCAAGCTGGTCCCTAGAGAGGGGGCCGTTTCGCCCCGCCTTCTTCCCCTACGGGGCGTGGGTTAAGTCTCAACAAAAGTCTCTGAGAGCCCCATGCCGGCCTCAAAGGCCGATGCCGATCTCTTAGTGTCTTGCGCTGATAGAAGGCTGATACACTAAGCTTTAGAAGACCCATCTCGGGTAATGAGGGCTCCTGATCTAGCCTCTGATGGCTCCATGTCGCCCACGTAGGTCTCACTCCGACAAGGAACCCACGTCAGTCTCTAGAAGCCCATGGTGGCCCCTGAGAGTTCAATGTCGGCCTCTAAGGGCCACCCCTTAAGTATGGCTATTGAGTCTCTCGAGGTGGCCTCTGAAGGCCCCGCGCTAGCTTCTTGGGGCCAGCGTCAGCCTCTGAAGTCAGAGGGCAGAGGGCCCCACGCTGGCCCCAGAAGGCCCCACGCCGGCCTCAGAGTGCCCCACGCTGGCCTAAGAGGACTCCACATTGTTTTCAGAGGGCCCCAAGCTGGTTCTCGTAGGGCCTCAATCTGACCTCAGAAGGCCACACGCCACTGGGTTTAAAGGACTCACGTTGGCTTAAGAGGGTCCCACTCTGGCCTTAAACCCTCGGCGGACCTATTGGTTTTCTACATACGCGCCGGCCGAGGGGGGGGGGGGCGGGCGGGTACGACCCCCCTCGCCGTTTCGCCCCTGGTGGAGCTAGCGCGTCGCGGAAAAAACGAGCGTGTGCGCCGTTGCGAGACACAGAGATTGGTACCCGATTTTAAGGTCCTAGGTCAACCGGTGACCTCTGAGGTCAGGTCAAGTGCCCCAAGGTACGGTTCAGTTTTTGATGAATAACTTCGCAAAAAACGGCCGCAGAGCCGCGATTTTGGCAGCATCGTGTTCGCCTCGCTCAGGCGCGTCGAATGATATACTATTTATTCGAGTCAGGTCAACTTAGGGTGTTGACCTCAGGTCAAGGTCAGGTCAGCACCCCAATGTCACGAAGTTGGTCGAAAGAGGTTATGCCGCATATCATTCGATTCGGCAGGTCTTCCTGAGTCCATTGGTGGCTTTCCCGACTCGCTAGCTCAATTTGATCGGGAGTTATTGACGAAAAACTAATATGACCTTGATGACGTCATAAATGACGTCACGCAAAATCAACATTGCAAAAGTGACGCATCTAAACTTGCAAGGAGTGCATCAAATCACGATTATGTGTGCTTGAGGTAGTTGGAGATCGTTCCCGGCGCCAGAACAGCAGTTTTCATTTTTCCCCATTGAGCTATAATGGTGAAGTCACGAAAATGACCTGACCTCATAGACCTTTAGGGAAAATCTGAGATATACAAGTAGTGAGAATCATAATGGATACTAGATCCTGCAAGTTTCATTTCCCTGTGACATCTCCTCTGGCAGTGAGGGCGTTGCAAAGTTGCGACATCTGAAGACCGTGCAGAGGTTCACTTATGACGTCATAGGTCAGTGACCTGACCTGACCCAAAAATGCGGTTGATGTCAAAAGATCCGGCTTGAATCACGGGTCAGGTATGGCAAGTTTCAGCTTTCTATCGCCAACGTGTTTGGAGCTATCGCGAAAAAAAACCTATGGGGGGTGGCACCCACCCCCCCTCGGCCGGCGAGTTTTAAAGGGCCCACGCTGGCCTCAGAGGGCCGTGCGCTGGCTCCTTAGGGCTCCACGCCAGCGTCAAAGGGCTCCACGCTCAAGTCTAAGCTTCTTTAGGGCCGCCAAAGCTGCATCGGAGGACCCCATGCTAGCCTCTGAGGGCCGTCAAATGGAATTTGGAAAATTGAGATAGTTTAGAGTTTAGACGCAGTTTGACTTTACACATGCTAGAGTGACCCAAAGGGCCCACTTATGTGCTGAAGTCAGAGGGGGAGGTCATGGCCTCTTGGCCTCCCCTGGATACGCCAATGGCTGACACCATACTCTAGGGCTGACACCAAGTCGTCCGCTGACACCATGCCTGGACTGACACCATACCGTCTGCTGGACTGGCCTCATACCCGGGCTGGCGCCGGCAGAACACCGCTGGGATGACGCCAACTCAGCAGTCAGCAGGGACGTCACCGATGGCGTTGGTGGCGGGCGTGTGGGGACTTCCCCCGCGCTCGCCCGCCGTGTTCCCGGCGCCCTGCGCCTGGTGGGCCGGTGACGGGGCGCACTGTGCACCAGCCGCGGAGGCCGCAGAGGCCCTGCTCTGCACTGGGGAGGGTGCACGCTGGTGATGCCAATTTTAGAAAATGTCCGTATGTCCACTATCCAAGGTCGGTCCAATGTCCGGTATCTTCGTCGACTGTCCGTCGAAAATAGTCCAAGCCAGCCATTTGTCCAAAAATGTCCAAAAACTACGCAGGAGTTTAGACTCAACACTGTTATTTAAGTTGATTTTAATGTACTAACTATTACCACCCCAAAAGTGTTTGTCATATCGAGAACTGAGCCTTCTATTCGCCAATCAATGCTATAACTACACATACGCTTACTTTATAAAAATGCTGAGGCGTAGCAAGTGATTGTCCAGTGCTGTCCAAAGCCTGCTGATTTGGATCCGAATGCTTTGAATCGCTTTGAATGCTGCTGCTTTGAATTGGAAATCCGAAGGTCCCAGAACTCTGAGTGGCACCACTAGTGCACGCTGTCCAGCGGGGCCCCCGGTGCAGACTAGTCATGGACTTTGTCCGCCTAGAGCTGGACAGTGGATAGCGCCGCGCGGGGCAGACAGTGGACGGCCGGGGGCCGGGGTCTATGTACTTGTAGTATTTAGTGCGTACTGTAGTGCATAGTGCGTAGTATCCCGCAGTGAGCGGGTGGCGAACAAAATCCAGCTAAATGGTGAGTAGGTATCAGTTCCTCACATTTTGGGCATTAGCATGTCCACATTCTGCATGCCAAATTGAACACTCTGCCGAGGCTGGGCTAGCCTGAGTTGTTATATGTATGTACATACGGCTATGCTGTTAACCCGCTACGGGTGGGGGGGGGGGGTGTTCTGACACACCTGCGTTTTTTTTCGCACACCTGTTTGTGCATAGTTTCCCATATGTGCAAATTTCAGACCGGGGTCGTTCAAGGTCAGGTCACCATGTCACGCCAAGCGACCTCACGAGTACCTCAGAAAAATACCGATTAACCGATCGCTTTGAAACTTTCAGCGATTGATAACAGTAAAAGAGCGCGTACGAAATTTATATCTCGAAATATTGATATATGTGACCTAAGGTCAGACCAATTTCGCGACCTCTCGATTAGGTATATGTCGATGGGAGGAAATTGAGAGGCGCCTCTTTTGGACGAACGCCGTTCTAAATACTCAATCATCGGTTTGACTCAACGAATCGAAAAATTTCAACCGTGACAGGGACCAAACCTTTCGTCCCAAACCTTTTTGGGACTAAAGGTTAATATAGGACGAAAATGGCCGAATATGACGTCATTTTGACGTCATTGACGTCATTTTGTAACCAATTGTTCATAGCCTTTGAATTTTCTTTGCCGGAACATCTCAAATCAATGCCCGCAGGGTTCCTGAAAGTTTGGTGGCGATATCTACAGTAATTTAGGAGACATCTACGGAAAACGACAAGGGCGTTTCGGCCCCTCTACGGGAGACAGTTTAATGATGAATTATTAGCTAAGCTATTGAAGAAAATAAAACAGGATGCATCCACCTGTTGCGAGGGCTTCGAGGCGACAACTCTATACTTAAGCTTAGAAGGAATGTGACCAAAACAAATATTTCAAAATCAGTCATTTCGCAGTGAGAATTCTACCGCCAGGAAAGGACGGCTTTTCATGGCGAGCGTGTGAGACAGCTGGTGTTGAATGATCTAGGATAAGAGGTGGGAATGATAGTAGAGGGGCTTGACATGATTAGGGAATAATTTTGCACCGCCTTTCTGCAGCAATTAGGGCGCAGGAAATTGAGAGCTGCATGGGTAGGGAATGGCTGATCCATGATGACAGTGCGCTCTCGCACGAAACACTTCATTGGAAACAATCTCTGACCAAGAGTCGGACCACAGGGCTCAAACATCCATCATATTAAACAGCTCTTGAATTGGGATTTCTGGTTTTTCACTGACTAAAAAGTCAGCTTTAGGAAACTCATTCTGTTTCCCTATCTTGAAACCGTGACAAGAGTTATAAAAAAACCCAGAGTAAAGAACTTTGCCGATTACTTTCATGCTTGGCCTGAGCAAACGCAAAGTTATTTACATTTTTACATTACGTTAGTTTAAGTTGCAAAGTTACAAAGTTACTTGTGAGAGGACTAATTAAGATGAGATTATGAGTAATTTCTTTGTGAATCACTTAATTTAAAGTTTAAAAGGAAATTCCCAGTACTTTTTGTCACCTCTCCTAGGACCAATGATTTAGCATCCAGAGGGCAGAAACTAAGTTTGACGTTTAGCGGAAACCGGTTTTCTGTGATACTTTTAACACCAAGGTTATGTTGCGTTGATTTTGCCGGCACCGCGTTTCTCTCGTCGAGACACGTCGAATGAACTATACGTATACAGGCTGACTTGAAGGCCAACTTAAAAAAATGACCTCGGGTCAAGGTCGCAGAAAATGTCAAGCTGCATATCAGTCGACTTGTTTCATTCAGCTGAACGCATTCATGGTGTTTTCAGCGCTATAGGTGTTTCTATCTGAAGTTATTGTCAAAAAACTGCTGGAAACGCTTTACGACCTGAGATGACCTCAGGGGCATGAAAGGGGTCAAGGGTGCAATATTCCGATTCAGTGTGTCATGTTTATTACATATCCCGATGTTTGAAGATATTTTCGTTCAAAAGAAAAGCATTGCTGCTTTTTTCATTCGCGTTGACATAAAATGGTGACTGGTCGCAGAATTGGCCCGATATCACAATTCCGAGATATAAAAATTGTTACATAGTACTGATTCCCTCATGCAATAGCCCAAGTTTTAAACTTGTAGGATGCAAACTGTAGGAATGACAGAATCACAAGGCTTATAAAGACATGGTCACTTAACTTGACCTGGTGACCTGACCTTATGTGTTCTGGGGTAAAAATGACACATTTTATTTATGCATCGATTATGCATTTATGCATATGAAATTTATGCATCGTAAGCTATACCATGCTTTGCAGTGCTGCGCGCCGCATTTTTTGTTTTACACATACACAAAAAATTGGCAGGTGTGGCCAAAAACGCCCTCTTCCATCACCCGGACGAAGACTGTCACCGCAACTCACGCATCTTGATCAGGGCTTTTTATTGCTGCCTTTCGTCTCTCTGTCACCATCCAATCGGGAATCAGGCAGGGACTAAGCCCCCCCCCCCCACACACACACTCCTGGCAGTGTGGCCCCAGTGCCGGCGGGTGGATACCCCGCGGGGAGAGGGCTAATTAATGTACAATGACCTGCCAGCCACCTTCGACCCGCAGGCCCTTAAGCAGCCCAGCTCAGACGAGGAGGAACAGTTGAACCTGGCGCTGGCCCTATCACGCTCAGAGTCCGAGACCAGCTCCAGTGCCAGAGAGGTGGGTGCGTCGTTTAACCTTGACGGACCAGTCGCTTTCAGTTTCATATTGTGTGGATAATCTGTTGGTGCAATTTTCATAATCGCGGAAAAATATTTTGTTTCTCGGTTATCTATCAAAATGTACATTGTACACACTATTGAACATAGGCTGTTTTATTCGAAAGTAACCTGAACGTTAGGGACAAAAAGGCATCGACTGCCGGGGAAAAGTCAACTTTAAGCCGTTCCTATTCGTATTCATTGACATTGACATTCGTGATCATCCATTTAAATTGACATTGTCATTCATTCACTGATATTGTATTTGTGCTTGACAGCATGGAACCTCGAACGTAGCCTAATTTTGACGATACCGAGGTCCTTGATCACTTCGTAGGTTGAAAAAAGCACAAATTATAAGCATCTAGGCATGTTCGCACTTGGGGCCCGACGGCCGACATCTCTGCAGGAGCCCGATGCTGACAGAGTTACCTGGGTCACCAGCTGCACCTTCCACCCGCAGGCCCTTCAGCAGCCCAGCTCAGACGAGGAGGAACAGCTGAACCTGGCGCTGGCCCTGTCACGCTCAGAGTCGGAGACCAGCTCCAGTGCCAGAGAGGTATGCATGCATGCGGTATTTGTTCGCACTTACAGGTGGCGTGGGTTGGACTTAGTACCCTCGATATAATCACCTTCGCACCCTCCCGGAAAACTTTATGCTCTGACCCAAATGACCTGTAACCTCTGATCTTTTTCCCGTGACCATACCACGTCAGGATACATATTCTGCTTTTGTTTTGTATTGTTGGGTTAGGCCCTTTCGGTCCAATGAGACCATTTCAGAGCCGAACAGTTTCTGCGTACGTCGGCTTACTTTATCCGTGCGCTTCCGACTTCTTGGTGTAGTTGTTGGGCTATCTTCGAATTTAGCACCCATCTGAATATTTGAGAAGTAGTTTTGGTCCTATGCAACATGTTACAATGCTGCAAATAGTGGTTAACAGTTAACACTTACTATGTATAGTCGGTGAGACGCCTATTGGTTGTCCTGATCTGACTTGACTCTGCCTATCCTAAATGTACGAAAATACCATTACTGATCACAAATTTTCGAAGCTCGAAATCAGATTAGTTTTAGATCCCTATTTGGGAGATTGAATTGACGGGGAAGGTTCATCAATAACTAGGATCTTAAGTTTTGGAATCACTGGTTTCCTCCCGTTACGGGTAACGTGCTCGTTTTTCTGCGAAACTCTGATAGGGGCCGAACGGCGATCATCCCCCTTCCCTGAACGCAAGCTTCTGACGTAGCGTGGACATAGCGTACTGTTTGACGTGCTGTTAGACGCTGTGAAATTGCTGTTATGACGCTGTGAAGGGCGAGTTTTACTCTAGCTGTAGCCTGATGTGTGTGTGGTGTTTCAGCCACTCTCCAGGAGAAGGCAGTCAGGTGGTCGGCCACCGCCGGCGACCAGTGTGCTCGGGGAGCTCACCTGCCCCGTCTGCAGGGAGACCATCGACACGGCCACCACCCTCGGCTGCGGCCACACCTTCTGCGCCGGCTGTCTGAGCCGGGCGCAGGCCTGCGGCGGCCACCAGTGTCCGCTCTGCCGCAAACCCATCCAATTCACCGTGCACTGCATCGTGCTGGACAACGTCATCCGGGCTCTGAGCAGCGCGCCCAGCTGAGCGGCCGACACCTGTTTGTAGACGTGCAGCGCGCCCGGCTGAGCGGCCACCACCTACTCGGTATAAAGACGTGCAGCTTTGCCTGAACCAGCGCGCCGCCCCTCAGGCTCTAAATCGACCGCCGAGCACGCACGTCATGAGTGGCAAAAGCGGCGAATCCATGCGAAATGTGTTACAGAGAGTGTGTAGCTGCAGTATATTGCATCCAATGGCGGAGAACGCGGAACCGAAATAAACTACAGATTCCTGAATGTATTATGTATGTATTCTGATGGACTTGTTTCTAAATTATCACGTCTCAGATCTTTAGCAAAGTAAGAGCAGTTAATGCTATTTATGAAATATTGTTATTCGCTTAGTGCATATTTTTAGTGGCATATTTTGAACTATTAAGAGGTAGTAAGGTTTAGGCATATTAGGGCAAGAAAATGTTTGAGTTATATGCGATGTCCTGATCTTTTGCGTCATTATATTTCTACACTTTTAGGTCGGAATCACTGTGACGTCACCCACTAGATGGCGCTAGTTGGTCGGCCGATTCGTATGATACAAGTCAGGAATATGCGGCCGAGACGTATGTAGAAAACCAATAGCTCCGGCGGGTGCGAGGGTTAACCTTCCGACAGTTTAGAGTGGTCGATCGAACTTCTCGTTTCTTTTCTCAGAAATAAGTCGCGCGAAGTGTGATGTATGATTTTATCAGCAGTCCCACCTATCGCGGTGACGTCACGTTAAGCGCGGCACGAGGTCAGCCGAGCCGGACTGGTCCCAGTGTGGCGGGACAGCTCAGGCGGGGATCCCCCACCCGGATGTGTCCTATCTGCACGGACCGTGCCGCTCAGTGGTGAATCAGGCACTCGTGACGCACTGTACAACATGTGCGCAGTACTGCGGCAATAGACTGTCGAATATATCAAGTGATTACTCACCCCGCGCTCTTTGGCTTCAGCGCGGGGTTTTCCCCTTTGCAATAGGCGTCAGGTTTTTTGTTATTTAGGACTTTTTCCCTGACCAATACACCCCACACCAGTACACTGACACCTTACACAAGTGTATGAATATGCGATGTAAATAAATGTTACCGTTTCTTCATCTGTGTTTTGTTCCGGCTTTTTCGGCACTTCGGCAAAAGTAAGTTCCCCATTAGATTTGCTCACACACACTAAGGATAGGCTCCCACGTTGCTATTGCTTCCGGGTTCACATAAAACGGCTTAACGTAAAACTTTGTTCCTGGCCAAAATTGCCAGATGTAATGACCCCCGGCTCCAGACTGGCTTTAGGCTGGCGGAGCAAAAAAAAAAAAAAGATTACTCACCACATCACTACATCTATGCACCCTCCATATGGCATGAGGTAGGTGCATTCACGCCATCCATTCGCTGACTGCATCAGATCAGTGGCGGTATGGATATATACTGTGGATGAGCTAATAGTCGCGGAAAAAATCACGGCACCATGTGCTTGCTCACTAGCCTTTCCCTTCTTATATCAGAAGACATACGATTTCTAAAACACACCACCTTAGCGCATTCGAAATGCAGTGGACTTTATATGGGCAAAACGCATTTGATGACCATCAAACTGCTCAAATTGATGCGATGTCATTCCTGAGCTACTGAGCATAAACATGTACGTAACATTTAAATCACTTATCACACTAACCTTTTTTAACTGCTACCGTGCCATTCCCTTGGCAAAATGATGACAATCACCAGTGCTTGAAGATGGATTACTCACCGGGCGCTATCTCTGCGATGATAAGGTCCTGTGAATTTTTAGAGCGGCCGACGCCACCCGGCCTTGCGGACAGGGCGCGCTTGTGTTGGCTGTTTCGATAGCGGCGCGATACTGCAGGTGGGGGGGGGGGGAGGGGTCTGAGTGACCGCCGCGGCAGAGGGTACGATCACAGTGTCTCAGCGGACCGGCACCTGACGGCGGTCCGGGCGGCCTCAGGGTGGCCGAACACCCGCCGACCCGGGACTGCAGCGGCTCCGACCACCCGCCGACGCCGCTCAGCCCGAGCTGCCGCCGAGCTGTCAACAGGTCAGTGTCCCTGTCCACCCATCCTTAGGATCGACCCGAGCCCGTCCGCAGGCACCATGGCTAGCGGCGAAAACTGGCAGAGCACAGCAGCGCAGTAGGGATTAACCCGCGCCCGTATTGGTGTTTTTCCAGCAGCGAACGTATAAGGGGAGGGGGTCCGTTGCACCCCCTCTTGCCGTTTCGTCCCTAATCGAGCTAGAGCTTCGCGGAAAAAACGAAACCGAAAAAGCCCGTATTGGTGTTTTTCCAGCCGCCAACGGATAGAGGGGGGGGGGTCCGTTCGACCCCGCCCCCCCCTATACGGGCAAGGGTTAACCCGGGGTGGAGGGGGATGGGTTGTGCACCACCCCGGCCAGGACATTGACCTTTGATGAACTTGGTTCACTTTATCGAGTTTTACATGTTTCTTCTAGGCCAGTTTTTTTAGCTGAATTCGAATTTAGCAACCATATGAACATTAACTAAGAAGCTTAGGTGCCTTCGTAGCATGTTACGAAGCTGTCAGAGGCGGTTGACACCTACTCCGAATACCCGGCAGAATCACTACTCGTTGACCTGGCCTGACCTGACCCAACCTGGCCTAAATGCATGAAGACATCATCTGTGATCAAAACTAACATGATATTTGTGATCAGCACCCCGAAAAACCCCATGGCAGCGACACTACGACGCCTTAATAGGTCCCGATTTTCCCGACTTTTGGGTCATTGACCTGACTAGGAAGGTCAACCAATGACCTAAGACCTTAAAATTAGGTATCATCGGCTTTATCTCGCCACGGGCAACACGCGCCCATAGCTACACCATAGTGTAATAAATAACTATGGCTATACTATGGCTACTAATAACTATGGCTACACTATGGCTACACCGAGTGACGGATCCATAAGAGCAACACTATGCATAAAATTCATATCACAAAATTATTATATTGGTGACATAAGGTCATGTCAATTTTGCGACCTCTTCATTTTCAGTCGATTGAATAAAATTGAAAGGCGGCTTTTTAGACGGAGGTCATTCTTAGCACCCTCAAAAACCGATCTACAGTAAAGGTGACAGACTGAACCGGAGAAGTGCATCAGTGCCCCCCGCCTTATACCCCTGAGGTTATTTCAGGTCACGAAATTTATGCACATTTTTTTCGCTCGTAATTTCTGTTAGAGGCGTGCTATAACAATGAAAACACCTTAGATGTGTTCACCTCGACCATACGGATCAACTGATATGCAAGATGACCTTTCAGCTCAGATCATGACCTTGACCTGAGGTCAAATTTGCAAGTTGACCTTTCATGGTCAAATTACAGTTCATTTGATGCGTTTCGACGAACACGATACTGGTAAAACGAAGCTCGTGCAAGTTTTAACCCTCGCCGGCACAGGCCATTTTGAGTCCTTCAACGGCACAAGGGGGTTGGTACGACCCCCCTCGCGTTTGGCCCCTTATCGAGCTAGAGCTTCGCGGAAAAAACGAGCGTGTTGCCCGTCACGAGAGGAAGCCGATGATACCCAATTTTAAGGTCCTAGGTCATCGGGTGACCTTCCAGGTCAGGTCAATGACCCGAAAACCGGGAAAATCGGGACCTGCTAGAAAGTCGTAAAGTGTGGCTGCTATGTGGTTTTCCGGGGTGCTGATCACGAATATCGTGTTAGTTTTGATCAAAGATGATGTCTTTAAGCATTTAGACCAGGTCGGGTCAGGTCAGGTCAGGTCAACCGGTAGGGGTTGTGACGGGTATTCGTAATACGTGTCAACCGCCTCTGACAGCTTCGTAACATGTTACGAAGGCACCAAAACTACTTTGTAAATGTTCAAGTGGTTGCTAAATTCTAATTCAGCTGCAAAAACTACCCTAGAAACATGTAAAACTCGAAAAAGTGAACTGAGGTCACCCGAGGTCACCAAAGGTCAATGACCTGACCTGACCTTCAGGTGACCTTGACACCCACCCTAATGCATGGGAGCAACATCAAATAACATGTTTGAACGTTTGAAACCACGAAAAGCTTGCAAACGCGCGGCTAATGCGAGCCGACATGCGCCGAACCGCGATTTCGGCCCAACATGGTCACAGAAAAGAGGTCACAGGTCAAAGGTCATTGGGGTCAGGGTCATGAAATTTTCAGGGTAGGTGTAAAATTGATCAATGCGAGGGTAATGAAAGTTTCGTCGCGATCAGCCGCTTTTTACGCGAGTTATTCGCGAAAAACCTTAGGGGGGGTTGCATCAACGTTTGAACCACGAAAAGCTTGCAAACGCGCGGCTAATGCGAGCCGACATGCGCCGAACCGCGATTTCGGCCAAACATGGTACGAACGTGAACGACTCTTTGTCAAGTTTTTGACCCCCTGTGCCGGCGAGGGTTAAGGCAAAAGTTATTGCAAAAGAATTGTTTTTGCAACAAAACGTCTATTTTCGCAGTAATTTCCCATATGGAGACTCTGGAGGCTAAACAGTAGAACTTAGGCCAAATCTGAGAAAATTAGGTATATCCATTTTCTATACGTTTAAATGCGATAGCATGCGAAATGTTTTATTGGAAGAATTGCTACATTTCAAATGAGATAGGGCAAGATGGGGCCCAGCCTCAGTATCTCTACATCTTACAAATTTGAAGGCCGACCAGGAAGCGGACCTGGTAGCTCATTACCTAAGACTTCCCCGCACTGGACCTCGCATGTAGGTTGCGAGTTTGTGGGTTTTCGGGGTTCTTCAAAGTTAAAGAATGTACCTACTCTACGTTAAGTGACCCACGCTACCATCTAAAAAGCGAGTCCCGGCAAGTTTTTGACTTGTGAGCTACCTCGGCTCGCATTTCAAAAGTAGACTTTGAGTCTACTTTCGTTCGGTTTTCCTCGTTGCGAGGGCTGCGACTTTTCAGGGTGTTTTGTTGGTGTCGGTTTTAGGTTCGCTGTGCCGTTATTGAGGCAATACGTAGTTTTCTTAAAGTGTATCGGCTTCACAGCATTCATGGAGTCAGCATAAGAAAATGATGTTCTCGCTCCATGAATGAACGTAATACCCGCAAACCCGAAACCCGCAGACTCGCAACCCGCATGCGAGGTCCAGTGTGGGGCGAGGGGCGACCTTAATCTGCGCGGCGCTGGGGGGGGGGGTAAATATTACCACCCTCCCGGATTTTCGTGATAGCTCATGAACCGCGCAAGCTATCAACACGAAACTTTCAGTAACTTCTTTTGCATCAATTTGGCACATGCCGTTAAAATTTTGGGAAAAAATGACAGTTTTATAACGTCACTATACACGATTTTCGGGTAAAAATTACGTCAATGTTCAAACAGCCACTCCTCCTTCATTTAAAAAGCAATATCAAATTTTAAACATCACCAGACACAGAATGTTAAGTTGAACAAAATAGCTGTCTCAAATTTCCAAAATTTTGCAATTTGGACCTTGAAATCTTTAATTGTTTTTATTAACTCAAGGATATTAATTAAATCAATTAATTATGTCGAGGATTTTTTGAAAGTCGAGCATTACACAAATAGGAGTGAAATGTGTGGGCAACTTTTGAAGATAAGAGGGGTGGGCGTTTGACCCGCCCTGGACGTTTTGCCCCACTATCCTAAATTCGATATGCAGAAATAACCATAGAGACACGGAGCACTAGGGAATTTCAGTATCCTTGGTTGCGTCAGTAATGGGCAGGGTGGGGAAGTGCCCTGTCAAGCGTCGAAGAATGGGAATGACCCCGGATGACAACTGCCGACCACTAAGCTCAAAGCATACTCGTATTTGATATAAGCGTGAACTAAAACAAACCTCCTTTATTACATATACTTGATAGGTGCACTTAAACTTTTTCGTAACTAAATCTAAAACATGCTTACCTGGGGAGGGTTACAGACAACTACATTTTTCTGCGATTTACATGTTAACTCTCTGAAATATGCATCAATTCTAAAGGGGAAGTGGAGACAAAAACTGTAAGCATCGCATCAAATAGTCTCCCCTTACGGTATGTACCTCTGCTGCAGCTGGGGACAAGAAGCCGAACGCCGCAGCTGTCGCCGCGGCTGAAGCTGTCGCAGCGGCTGTCCAGTGGGCTGCAGCTGTCGCAGCGGCTGTCCAGTGGGCTGCAGCTGTCGGCGCGGCTGTCCAGTGGGCTGTAGCTGTTGGTGCTAGCGGTAGCTGTCCCGCGGGCTGACTCCGCAGAGCGTCAGCCTCCGCCATACGTGAGCACCATTTCTGGTGTCTGCGGCGCGACCGACGATGGGAAACAAGAAGTCACGCGCGACAGGGAGCTCCAACCAGGCCCGTGGCCAGGAACTTCGGACATCTGATCCCTATCGGTAAGCGATCACGGAAGACGGCTCTGTTTGAACGACACTTCTTGGAGGGCTGGACGGAAGTTGACAATGACAGTGAGCCCTCATGGTTATTATATGATATGCCTATGCATCAAGCTAACTTTGAACGACTCTTTGTGAATTTTTGGTAAACCCAGTGCATGATGTTCAAAAACTTTCAACATTTTCATTTTACATGTTTCTTTCTTGCAGGACAGAAATTGCCATGGTGGCGACGGAAGCTCTGGTAAAGACATTTAAAGACAGCAAGAATGAAAGGGTTGATGACCAATCGCCTGCACCCGAAAATGCTGACATACTTAAGCAGAAACGTGAAAGAGATGAACAGCTTGAGGATTACCGCTACAAGCTGAAACTTCAAGAAGAGCAAATAGCTGCACTTCAGAGACAAATGTTACTAGAACAGCAACAAAAGAAAGGAATGTTTGAAATGCAGCCAGAACAAAATGAAGAGACGAGATCAAAAGGAGCCGAAATGCGAGGGCGGCAATGTGAGGAGGAACAAAGCAAACATGATCAGGAAGCTGCTGAACCACGGCCAGAAAAAGCGATGCAGATGCAGGGAGCAGCAGGTGAACATTTGAAGCCCAGCGTCGGCGAGAAACGGCGGCGAATGGTGTATGAAGCCCCGAGGAACCGGCCAGAAGATGAACAGCAGCGAGACCGAGGCCTTAAAGAGAGGGAAGTGCTAGAGCTGGAAGACGAATCAAAGAGAAGTGAAATTGCAGGAAGAAGTTCTAACGTGCAAGAAAACGCGGCTCAAACATTTCAATCCAATCAATGTCGAGTTGGAACTAAAAATGGCAAAAGCCAGTCTACAGACGGAAAAGAAAATGACAAAATAAAACCAAAACAGGGTGTAAATGATGTTGAAGCTCGGGTCGGACAAGAACAGCGTAAGCGAGACGAAGAAGTTCGCAAACGCAGAGAACAGCAGCTCAGTACTATAAGAGAGCAGGAGAGACAGTTTCAAGCGCAAAAGCGAAAAGCTGCTTTAGTTGAAGAAAAACAATTATTAGTTGAAAAGCAGCGCAATGCAAAACTGAACGCTCGACTCATGCGACAGAGCTTAAATCAGCGATTGAAGGAGAACCAACAGAAAACTGCGCGCCTCAAGGAGCATCGGAAGGACTTCTTTGACGTCGCAACTCGCGTGCTCAAGTCGAATTCAGCGGTGGAGGCCGAGTTCACGCGACGGTACCTGTTGGAGAGGCTGGAGGATTTGAGCGAGCTGGCGAGACGGCGAGATCAGAGCGCTGATGAGGAGCTGTTAGCGGGAAGCACCCTCCCAAACGTCTGCAACAACTACAGCTCTGCCGCAGGCTGCATGGACACAGGGTGCCAAAGCTTGCATATCTGTCGACGCTTCTGGGAGGGTACTTGCAGCAACGGACTGGACTGTCGCTACAGTCACTCCTTAACAACAGTGCACAACCAGGTGAGTGTGACCTAGAACTTCTGCTACCTCGATCAGGTCATGGTGAGAGAGTAAGTCAGTGTCTGCCTCGCCACTGGCCGGGAGTCTGAGTAGATACTGAGGTCCACACTCATGGTGAGAGGGAAAGTCAGTGTCTGCCTCGCCACTGGCCGGGAGTCTGAGTAGATAATGAGGTCCACACGCATGGTGAGAGAGTTAGTCAGTGTCTGCCTACACCGCTGGCAGTAGATAATGAGGTTCACACTCATGTTGATTGAGTAAGTCAGTGTCTGCCTACACCGCTGGCAGTAGATAATGAGGTCCACACTCATGGTGAGAGAGTAAGTCAGTGTCTGCCTGCGCCGCTGGCCGGGAGTCTGAGTAGATAATGAGGTCCACACGCATGGTGAGAGAGTTAGTCAGTGCAGGCGCGGATACAAGGGGGGGGGGGGGGCATGGGGGCCATGGCCCCCCCCCCCTTGGCCGATTTTTTCAAAAATAAAATAAAAAGTTAAAAAGTTAAAAAAGCTGAAAAGGGGGCCTCCTGAAAATAAAGTGGCCAAAATCCGATGAGTTTTTTTTTTTTACCTACCCACTTAGTTATTTCTTAGAAGACTAGCTGAGAAGACTTCTTTGTTAGAAGATTGGTAAAGCTTTTCATAACTTGGAGGTCTCTTATACTCACAGAGATGACCACTTTTACAGGGCCTCCTAACCTGCACAGAGGGCCTCGAAGCCTGCACAGATGTTGAGATGTTGCCTGAACAGCTAGATAAGCTCAATAGACGCAGTTTTTTTGGGGGGGGGGGCCAACAAGTGGGAAGATGGGGCCTCCAACAGGTGGGATTATGGGGGGGGGCCTCCTGGTTTCTAATGGCCCCTCCCTTGGAGATTTTCTGGATCCGCCCCTGAGTCAGTGTCTGCCTACACCGCTGGCAGTAGATAATGAGGTTCACGCTCATGTTGATTGAGTAAGTCAGTGTCTGCCTACACCGCTGGCAGTAGATAATGAGGTCCACACTCATGGTGAGAGAGTAAGTCAGTGTCTGCCTCGCCACTGGCCGGGAGTCTGAGTAGATACTGAGGTCCACACTCATGGTGAGAGAGTAAGTCAGTGTCTGCCTGCGCCGCTGGCCGGGAGTCTGAGTAGATAATGAGGTCCACACTCATGTTGAGAGAGTAAGTCAGTGTCTGCCTACACCGCTGGCCGGGAGTCTGTGAGAAGGTCACGAGATTCACGCTCTGTGTCGACTGTCGATTGTCGTTAAAGTCGCTCTCTTCTATCGACTGTACTGCAGTCGGCAGGGAGCGTAAGACTGAGTCTTATCTACGCAGGGCCGGGGGTTTGGACACCCTTGAGTTTTTTTTTTGCAGAAATTTCAAAAATTGGCGGCACGGGGCGCCGCCGTTTTTTTTTTTGCACACCTATTCATGCATTCTTTCCGCTTTTGTGAAAACTTCAGACCCATGTCGCTCAAGATCAGGTTGTCAGGTCATGTTAAGTGACCAAGTAACCTCAGAACAAGTTATAATACTCGCCATAGCTACAGCGACGGAACGATCAACTCGAATCTTTTAGCGATTGATAAAAGTAAGGGTATGTATAAAATGCTTATGTCGTAATCTGAATGTCGGAGACATAAGGTCAGGTCAATTTTGCGCCCTCTATTAAAAGTCAATGGAAGAAAATTCAAAAGCGCCTCTTCTCGACGAACGTAAGTATGAAGTATTAACACTCAAACATCGGAATAGATATAAACTTGACACACTAAATAGGAAAATGGCAACTGTGACCACTCTTTATGCATGTCTACAATGCCACCAGGTCATGAAAGGTCCCCAGTAGTTTTTTTTTTTTGGCAATAACTTTTGAAAGAGACGTGCTAAGAGCTATGAAAACACCCGAAATGCAATCAGGGCGACCATACGGATCGACTGATTGCGACATGACCTTTTCCGGTCAGGTCATGACCTTGACCTTAGGTCAAATTTTCCAAATGACCTTTCAAGGACAAAGTTCAGCTTATTTGACGCGTCTCGCCGATGCTGGCAAATTACATGTCATGTCTTTTGAACCAAAAGATTTTCCCGATAAATGTTTTCCGTAACAACGGCCAGTTTTAGAATCTGCCTTTTGGAGACTTAACCATTGAGCTTGAGCCAAATCTGAGAACATGTCAGCGAAAGAGCGCTTAGAGTGCTATCGAAAGCTCAAATGGTTCCCGAGTTATGAGCCGGTTTGTCTAAAATGATGAAATAGGCAAAATTATACCCTTGTCGACCTCTGGTCACTTGGCCTTTGGTGACCTAACTTGGTTGTATATGTTACATCAGCATGTAGCCGAGCATGCGGTGTGATTCAGAAACCGGAGCGGCTGGTTGCGATGAGGTTCGTGTCCCGACCGCTGTGAGGCAGGTCGAGTTTATTTGGCGGGACTCGGACTGTTGCCCGGGTGGTTTGCCCATCCCGGTTTGAGATCAGCATCGCCGGCTGCAATCTTTGTCGCCTGGGCGAAACAGCGACGCGAGCCGTTCCATTTGTCGCCTATGTGGTGAATGATGAGCGCGTGTCTGGTGATGTTGGCACTTGTCCTGAGCCACTCCCAGAGAGTTGGCACCTGTCCTGAGCCACTCCCAGAGAGTTGGCACCTGTCCTGAGCCACTCCCAGAGAGTCGGCACCTGTCCTGAGCCACTCCCAGAGAGTTGGCACCTGTCCTGAGCCACTCCCAGAGAGTTGGCACCTGTCCTGAGCCACTCCCAGAGAGTTGGCACCTGTCCTGAGCCACTCCCAGAGAGTTGGCACCTGTCCTGAGCCACTCCCAGAGAGTTGGCACCTGTCCTGAGCCACTCCCAGAGAGTTGGCACCTGTCCTGAGCCACTCCCAGAGAGTTGGCACCTGTCCTGAGCCACTCCCAGAGAGTTGGTCGTGAACCGGTGATGATAAGAAGCTGACACTGCATGTCTGACTGACGCCCCTCGCAGGGCGTCTGCGCTTTGTTTGAACAGGCTTCTGCTCGGGAGCTGGTGGTAGCACAACAGCCGAACGGGACCTCGGGGGAGAGCGGAAGTCCTGCAGCTGATGGCTCCGCTGAAAACAGGGGGATATGTCGCATGGATATCTCCAACATGATGCATATGTCAAGGTATTATCATGGCAGCAACAAGATAAATGTTTCAGTGTTTCGCTTGACACTTAAAGGGAGAATATGACCTTTCTTATTTCTTGAAGAAAATTTACTCGACCGTCACATTATTTTTTTTTTTTGTAGCTAAAAAAAATATAAAAATTAGCACATTTTTGAATGCGGAAACTTTTTTTTGCAAGAGGGAAGCAGTACCTACTTGTAGCACTTCAACACTCACCGAAAAAAGCATTGTCCTTCTCTATAAAAAGTCGCGGTGTATGGTGCTTGTGTCACAAATAAGGACACTGAAGTTTTTGAATGCTATCGCCTTGGTCATCTTGTATCTTGTATCTTGTATTTTCATAAATCACCAACAGGCTTACGCCCAATGACAGGTGAAGTCACACGCACACGCATCCATCAACATGCATAAATACCCCCCCCCCCCCCACACACACAAACCACTTCTTTGCATCCGACAGAGGCCGACTGTCACATAACGCACGCCAGTGTTGACGCATACGCCGATGCCTCTCGCTTGAGCCGCCCGATCGAGTCAAAGAAAATATCTGACCTAGGCGAGAACTCAAGAAAGTGATTGACGCAGCGAGGGATGCGCACAAAAAGCCCTCCTGATATGGTGTTCACCCTGGCGAACGGCACATCAATTAATGGTGTGTTTCTGGTCGGCCGCGCGGATATATGGAGCTTAAAAGACCCAAGTAAATATGATGATGAGATGAAGCCTTTAAAAACCTTGCATAAAAACAGAACATCACACTTTGCGCGTCGTGCTCCTAAGTGTGGCACACGAAATGATGACAATAGGTCCGAGTACTTGAGCGACGAATTACAATTCGTGGTGCGACAAGCCAGCCACATCAAAAACTTGTGTTGCACCCTCTCCACACGAACGAGATGAGATTTGGCCACTCCGCCCCATATCACTGAACAGTACTCGACCACAGATCGAACATTGGCGTAATAAGCCGCCAACACGGCCTGCCTGTCCAGCTTACACTTGGGGGAAGCCGACTGGAACGTTCGAATGAGGAGCCCGAGCGCTCTATTAGCCCTTGTGACCACTGAATGCACGTGATCGGCGAAATCTAGCTTTTGATCAAGAATGATGCCTAAATCTCGGATCGATGTGACATTTTCCAAAATAGTGCCATTGATCGAATATGTCGAGTCAATGGGGCTACGTTTCAGTGTGATTTTAAATGACTTGCATTTGGAGGCATTTAGCTTCAATTTCCAGTCGGCCGCCCAGCGAGTCACTGCGTTCAAGTCACGCTGGAGCGTCTTAACATCATCATCGGACCTAACCTCGTGAAACAACTTCAGATCGTCAGCAAACAGCAAACAGTTGGTGGAAATAACAGTTGGCAGGTCATTCACATAGAGAGAGAACAGCAACGGAGAGATGTGACCCCCTTCCGGTGTTCCAGACACAACCGGAACCCACTCGGACACTTTCCCGTTCAACACAACGCGTTGTTTGCGCCTCTCCAAGTAGGACCTCAACCACTGCAGAGCGTTGCTGTCAACGCCGTACATCCTTTCGAGCTTATGCAGTAGCAAACAATGATTGACACTCTGAAACGCGCTGCTAAAATCTGTGTACACGGTATCCAGCTGGGATTTGTTTGAGATGGCCGCCCATCCGTGCGACAGGAAGGACGCGAGGTTCGTGGCGCATGACCGGTTTGGGACGAATCCGTGTTGGAACGGAGAAAGGTGAGGCTGGACATGTTGGAAGAGTTGCTCGCTTACAATCTTTTCAAAGACTTTTGCACATAGGGGAAGAAGCGATACAGAGCGGTAGTTAGCTGGATCGTTCCGCGATCCTTTTTTGAAAATGGAAACTATGTTGGCTTCAGACCATTTTTCAGGAAAGATACCGGATGAAAGGGATATGCGGAAAAGTTTACACAGAGGGGCGGCCAATTCATTTGCACACTCACGGAGAATGCGGGCGCTCAATCCGTCAGGACCACACGCCTTGCTGACGGAGAGCTCCCGGAGTAAACCACGCACAGCCTCCTCCGACACATTGAATTCCGACAGACGGTGGTCAGCACAAGAAGGTACGTTGGGGAATACGGCGACGGTGGGGTCGGAAAATTTCGACGCAAATGTGCGGTTTAGCAGATTTGCCTTTCCAATGTCATCCAAGACTCGCTTGCCGTTGCTCATTAAAACAGGAAGACCTTTAGAGTGCTTAAAACACTTCACAAACGTCCAGAAACGCTTCGGATTTGTGCGAAACTCGCCTACTAAGCCCTTGAGATACTCGGTATACCTACCGTCTGAAAGTCTCTTGAAGTCTGCTCGTTTTTGTCTGAACGATTCTTTAATGTTGTGATCTGTTGGGTGTCGTTTGAGACGTTCGAACGCAGCCTGTTTGAGTTTGAGCGCGCGCACAGCAGCAGCATCAAACCAGGGAGGAAATCATTTTTTACACATAACTACTGGTATATGGTCACGGATAGCTGAATCTACCAAAGTATAGAACAGAGAAACAGCCTCGTCCGCGTCTAACCCGTCGAGCAGATTCCACGGGGCAGCACTAAGTGCCTGGCGCAGCCCGTCAAAGTCTGCACGTCGATAATTGAGGGCCGTAGATCGCGTAACACGTACAGGCTGAAACACCGTGCTGACAACAAGCGAAACCGACACCTCGTCGTGATCAGATACAATGCAACTTGCACGAGGAATCGAGCACACTTTGGTGACACCCCGGGCCAGCACCAGATCGAGAGTATTTGTCTTTCTTGTCGGTAGTGTCACATACTGTTTTAAACCAAGCACGTCGCAATGGTCGATAAACCGAGATCCACGCTGCGTATTACGTAGAAGACGCGGACGGGCTCCTTCCTCATGCTGCGGCTCCCAGTGTATCTCAGGCAGGTTGAAGTCGCCCATCACCAGCAGCGGACCACCAGGCAGCTCAGCTAGACAGCGACACATCCTCTCCAGAGCCGGGTCATCGCTGGGCGGGCGGTAGCATACGGCGACGGTCACGTTGACCTGCCCGAGCTGAATCAGCAGGGTTTCAGTCGCGTCATTGCTTGGTTATAAGTGTTATGAGCATTCGGACTTGTTTTCAAGAAGATAAAAGGATTATTTAGTTGTTTTCAAGAAGATTAGGCATTTTGGACCTGATTGCGCTCAATGCATTCATGCGGATTGCAGCTACAAAATACTATGTAGTCCGTTACGGTAAATTTTAGCCCACTAGTTTCCTAAGAAGGGTACGATAATTGTTTCAATTTATCATAGAAATGTTTTCACATACTAATTATTTAAACAATAACTAAATGTTAAATGCCCAGCTGCTCCAAAAATAAAGACGGAAACTGTGTCTTCGTCCGCTCCCTATTTAAAAATGGAATTGCTGCAACTAAATTATGTATAACCTGTGCCCATCTGTTTTACGCACAGGAGTAAACTTCACAAGAAAACCTTTATAGACAAATGGATCATGAGGGCAGCGACTAAGTAATGTAAAAATGGAAAAGATCATAATCTACCTCTAACACTAAAGGCCGCCGTCCACTGTGCGGAACGCGTGCGGTCCGTACGGAATTTAACACAGAACCCTATGGGCGCATCCGGTCCGTACGAAAATCGTGTGCGCTCCGTCCGGACCGCATCCGAACGGCAATCAGCTGTTGATTTTCCGTCAGCTCTCCGCATGCGTTTCGGATGCGGTTGCTACGGAGACGGAAGAGTGATGTCCGACGCGTTGAACTTTTCTGCGGAAAACGCATCCGGAACGTCCGGAACAGACGTGGTTTGGGGCCGTATCGGAGGCAAACATTGTGAATTGTACGAAGAATTGGAACTCGATCATCATGAAGTAAGTAAAAATTATTTCCTTAGAATGGCAATATGGTTAGAATGGCTGCTGGTTACTTGCAATATTTTATTTGGTAATAAGCGATAGGAAACATTTATTAGCTCTCCGCATCCGGACCGCATCCGGACCGGATGCGGCCAGCGTGCGGCGACATTCCGGACGGACTCCGGACGGAATTCCGTCGCAGTGGACGGCGGCCTTAAAAGTTTACATCGTGTCTGGAAGATACCGTTTTTAATTAATGCAACAGAACCGCGAGTCCCCCTGTTGTGAGCTGCGAGCAGTCCCCTACAGAGAGCTATAACAGTCCCCTACAGAGAGCTATAACAGTCCCCTACAGAGAGCTCTAACAGTCCCCTACAGAGAGCTCTAGCAGTCCCCTACAGAGGGCTCTAGCTATCCCCCTACAGACAGTTCTGACCGTGCCCCACAGACAGTTCTGACCGTGCCCCACAGACAGTTCTGACCGTGCCCCACAGACAGCTCTGACCGTGCCCCACAGACAGTTCTGACCGTGCCCTACAAACAGTTCTGACCGTGCCCCACAGACAGCTCTGACCGTGCCCCACATACAGCTCTGACCGTTTCCCACAGACAATTCTGACCGTGCCCCTACATACAGTTCTGACCGTGCCCAACAGACAGTTCTGACCGTGCCCCACAGACAGTTCTAACCATGCCATACAGACAGTTCTAACCATGCTATACAGACAGTTCTGACCGTGCCCCACAGACAGTTCTGACCGTGCCCCACAGACAGTTCTGACCGTGCCCCACAGACAGCCGGAGGCGGACTGCAGTGTGACCGGGGACTGCGGGGCGAGTGCGGCGCTCCGCGAGGGACACAGACCGTCTGACCGCCGCCAGCCGACCTCCGCCAGTGACGTCAGCCCGGAGCCGGCGCGGGACAGACAGAGGAGCCAGTGGGGCGCGGTGGGTACAGCTGATAACTGAGCAGAGCCGCGGCGGTCAGACTGCCGGCCGGTGAACCGAACTGATTACAGTCAGCGGTCGCCTGGTGGGAAGTAGCGTTGTAATGCTTCGTAGGTTATCAGGTAATGATATCTATGAAACAATGATGATTATTTGGGAGCGGACAAGAACATTTAAAAGACTAAACACAAACTTTTGCACAGTTAAGGAATCATGCGGTGTTACGGCTCACGAGAAGTCAATGCAACCAATTTTGTCGAAAAGCACAGTAGACTTATAATACCAGTGTAGTGTTAACCCGCGCCCCGTTGGGGGGGGGGGAGGAGGGGAAGCATCCCCGTCTCCTTTTCAGTCGATATCTCTAAGTATAGCAGATACCGCCACCAACAGGGCCTCGGCTAACATGTTACACCAGTGACCCGAAATGGCCCACCAGCCTCAAAGATTTGGCCCACCAGTAATTTTCCGAAAAATCTAAGTTTTCACATTTTTCACATTTCAAATTGAATTAGCAGATCTTATCGTACATTTTCAGGCTGTAAAGTACCCATCGGTGAAACATATTCTTGTGAAAAAAAACTTCAACTTATTGTTTGCAATATCCTCTTGGCCCTTGGGGTAAAAAGTGAACTATAGTGGACTAAGTGGACTAAGCCTCGGTCACACTTCACCGGATTGGACCAATGGACGAGAAACGGACGGCGTCCGGTGATGTCCGGGGGATGTCCGTTCGTTTCCGTTGGACGTCCGTTTCTCATCCGTTCATATCCGTTCCATGTCCGGTGGTGTCCGGTGTGCTCAACCGGACACCACCGGACATGGAACGGATATTAACGGATGACAAACGGACGTCCAACGGAAACAAACGGACATCACCGGACGCTGACAGTTCTCGTCCGTTTCTCATCCGTTGGTCCAATCCGGTGAAGTGTGACCGAGGCTTTAAATTTTATGCAATAATCGCGAAAGACGTCTGCCTCTGTCAATTACAGATAGTGTCGGCGGCTTCCAGCCGATCGAGGTCTGCGAGAGTTCTTGCAAGCTTTCCGATCGATCGAGTGGTTGCAGTCACATAAGCACTTCTGCCGCAGACCAGTCGGTTACAAGAAAAACTACGAATAAAGAACAGACCAGTTCAGATGGTCGGGGATAAGCCTGCGAGCGATCTCAGACGGCTCGCCGATAGACACGATATAAGCCAGAGTCAAACTAGAGGTAGTGTCGGCGACTTCCAGCCGATTGAAGTCTGCAAGCGATATTATGCGTCTTCACGACCAGTATGATGCTTGCAGTCACACATCTGACCAGTTGGACGAATTTCGAAACGTTCAGTCAGCGTTCCAAACATTTCTCATTTGGGCTGAAGATGACACTCAAGAATAAGAATGGATAATTTTCCACTCTCACATTTTGGGTGGCTCGAATTTTCCACGACACCCAAGAGAAATCTGAAGTTTGGGGCACTGTTCACCAGAAGTGAACGTGTACATAACTTAGTTTTTTTTTTTAAAGAAAATATCAGGGTTGCGCAGTGCGCTTGGGCTTTTGAGTTAATTATTTTCCATGCGACACCAATAGGCTTAATGATCATTTTCAGCGATGTTGGGGTTCCTGCTACAACCCACTTTATATATAAAGTTGCACTCGTGCTGTTCACAATTCCTCCCGATCCACCCAACAACGCCCGATCCCGTCCGACCGCTTCCGAATCTCCGACTAGTCGGCGAGCGATCCACTCACGGCCGTAAGTTATCGTCCAAAGTTTTATAATCTGCGTCAATATTGTGTGCATAATTGTGCCACGGAATATATAGTCTACGACATGTCGATATGTCGATATGTACTACGATATGTCGTAGACTATATTCCGTGCTTGTGCGATTTTATGTGCACCGCGGGAGTATCACCACTGAGAGGGTTGTGGGTCCCTACTCTCTCCTCTCTCTGAAGAGTCTGGGGGGTCGAGCCCCGTTTTTTTACATTTTTTGAATGCCATCCTGACGTTTATTGCAGAATAAAGTGGCCGAAATCTGGGGAGAAATCGAAAATTAGGGGGGGGGGGGACTATGGCTACGAAGGTCAGTCCATGTCGCTGCCCAAGTGGCCCACCAGTCAAAATTCCTTAGCCGAGGCCCTGGCCACCAAACTTTAAGGACCCCTCCGGGCATCAATTTTACACCTTGTTACTGAAAACTTTCCAAAGCCTATGATAGGTTTGCCACAAATGATTTCAGAGTGACGTCATGTTCTGTCATTTTTGACAAAAAAGATTTTGCGGAATACCTGTGATGCCTACAGCTTAAATGATAGAGAAAAAAATGTTAAAAGAAAAAGGCGTAGAATTAACAGGGTTACAAAACTGCGATCTAGAATTCTTAACCCGCTATTTTTCTAATATAATTCCCAAAATGCCTAAAGTTTTCAAAATTCTGAAAAAAGGAAATCATGTTATAGAACAAGGCTGCTATTGTTAGCAGCCTTTTAACAGCCTTTTAACCCCTCGCCCGTATAGGGGGGGGGGGTCGAACGGACCCCCCCATGGTTTTTCGCGAATAACTCGCGTAAAAAGCGGCCGATCGCAACGAAACTTTCAGTACCCTCGCGTTAATCAATTTTACACCTACCCTGAAAATTTCATGACCCTGACCCAATGACCTTTGACCTGTGACCTACTTTTCGAGACCATGTTTGGCCGGAATCGCGATTCGGCGTATGTCGGCTCGCATTAGCCGCGCGTTTGCAGTCTTTTCGTGGTTTCAAGCGTTCAAACATGTGATATGATGTTGCCCCCATGCATTAGGGTGGGTGTCAAGGTCACCTGAAGGTCAGGTCAGGTCACTGACCTTTGGTGACCTCGGTTCACTTTTTCGAGTTTTACATGTTTCTAGGCCAGTTTTTGGAGCTGAATTCGAATTTAGCAACCATATGAACATTTAAGAAGTAGTTTTGGTGCCTTCGTAACATGTTACGAAGCTGTCAGAGGCGGTTGACACCTACTAGGAATACCCGGCAGGACCCCTACTGGTTGACCTGACCTGACCTGACCCGACCTGGACTAAATGCATAAAGACATCATCTGTGATCAAAACTAACATGATATTCGTGATCAGCGCCCAGAAAAACCCCATAGCAGCCACACTTTACGACGTTCTAACAGGTCCCGATTTTCCCGACTTTTGGGTCATTGACCTGACCTGCAAGGTCAACCAATGACCTAGGACCTTAAAATTAGGTATCATCGGCTTCCTCTCGTCACGGGCAACACACTCGTTTTTTTCCGCGAAGCTCTAGCTCGATTAGGGGCGAAACGGCAAGGGGGGGGGTCCAACGGACCCCCCCCCCTTATACGTTCGCGGCTGGAAAAACACCAATACGGGCGAGGGTTAAAAGGCTGCTATTGGCGTGCCAAATTTGAGCTCGATAGCTCCATTTTTGACAAAGTTATGGCGGCGAAAAAAACTACTCAAAATTGATGTGAAATTTTTAAACTATTTTCAGCCGTTATATGTAGACCACGCACAGCAAAACGAAGACCACCAATGGATTCCCTTTAGTGAGCTGCATCGAATACATACCCTTTTATGCAAAATATCAACTTTCAATTTTGACCTTTTTTGACCTTTTTTGACCTGACCTCCGTCAGAGCGTAACCTCAACAGGCCCCCAATGGTCGTCTAGCCCATACCATTTAATTTGAACTGTAAAATTGGCCATAAAATATGTATCACATGACCAGTATAGTTGGGACCATATTGTGACCCTTAATGACCTGACCTGACCTGGCAACAGTGACCTCCTAAGCAACATAAGCGTTAGGCGATCAACATTGCATCGATGATTTTCGATAACATGCCTTTTATTCGATGTTATAACGCATTCCTTAGAAGGCCCGTAATCAGTGAAAAATGAGACCTTTGACCTGCCCTGTGACGTCATCGGTTGCACCTAGGTCAGCGAAACTTGGTCACTTGGTAGTTCTCTGGCAGGGCTGTCGAACGCCGTTCGAATTTTCAAAATATGTAGGTAACCTTCCGAGATCCGGGGGGGGGGGGAACGCCTCCCCCATTAGGTGGCAGCGACCGCCAATAGCTGAACGGGGCGCAAGTTAATTATATATCAAAGAAGCTGACTGGCCATCTCACGTGACAGCTATTTTGCCCTCAGACTAATGAGAGTCGGAGAGTCACTCTCAGCTCCCGTGAGAACGGCGCCGTTCCTCGCGCACCAGTGTCGGGAGCAGCAGCTGCTGCTGTGTCGGGAGCTGCTGCTGCTGTGTCGGGAGCTGCTGCTGCTGTGTCGGGAGCTGCTGCTGCGCTCAGGCCGCCCTCCTCCGGCGGCGGCGGTCTGTCGGAGGAGCTGCGCTGCCCCGTCTGTCTGGACCTGTTCCGCAGGGCCACCACCCTCGGCTGTGGCCACACCTTCTGCGCCGTCTGCCTGGCCGAGACCCGGGACCGGGGCGACGACCGGTGCCCGCTCTGCCGGGTCACTATCACCTCCGCCATCCGGTCCGTCACCCTGAACAGCATCGTCAGGAGCGTTATCACCGCGGCAGCCGCAGAGGGGCGCTGGTGACCGACTTCAGATGGCGCCACCGCCCAGTGTACATATCTCGGCTGTGCCGTGAGCTAGCAACTGTTTGATTTGTGGCCAACAGCTGATCGACGCGTGGCCAACAGCTGGTGATTTGACGCGCGTCTATCAAACGGCGCAATGAACGAACGGTGTTGTCAGTGGCATTCATTATCATTTATATTATTTTTATAATTTAGTCCGAACCTTTTAACGGAATGATTCACAAGGACTGAGCCCCCCTTAAGCGAAGCTTGTTGCGTTGACCCTGCCCTCTACCCTCCGATCGCGCAATTCCGGTTCTATGGTAGAATTTGGAGTCGAAAGTTTAACGTGTGCACATAGCCGCGCACGCACAGTGATGCAAATGGGGTTCACGAATGGCCATAAATACCGGAAAGGTCCAAAATTCAAGTTCACCTAATGAAATAAATCGCAATATGGCCAGTCAGGCAAATGTTTAGGGTGTTCTTAAAACATGATTTTCATGTTATTGTCAAAGCCGGCCTCGTGCATGATTGTCAGAAGTCGTGACATTTTCTATGTCATAAAATGATTGTTAGATACTCGCAAGTTCAAACGCCGCTAGCGTGCGGTCATTTCATACAAATGGCAAAAAATTATACATGGCAATGCATAAATTATACGACACCCGACCGCGCCGGACAAAAAAACTTCAATAGCGCCCTGATCTTCAATAGCGCCCAATACGGGCACACACTGTGTTAACTGTTGTAGGTGAAACGAAAGCAAATAATTTTAAGTAAAAAAACTGCGATTGCAACATGACAGATGGTTAGATCACCGCCAAACCAAGAGATACGAACAGACATTAGGGATTATTGCCATGTATAGTTTTTGCAGTTTGTATGAAATGAACGCACGCTAGCGGCGTTTGTACTTGTAAGTACCTGCCGGCTGCCAGTCATTTTACGACATAGACAATGTCATGACTCATGACTTCTGACAATCATACACGAGGCCGGTTTTGACAAGAACATGAAAACTATGTGATTTCAGATGCCCCAAACATTTCGTTGGTTGGCCATATCGCGATTTACTCTGATTGGTGAACTTGACTTTTTGGTATTTATGGCCACTCGTGAACCCCATTTGCATCACTGTGGCACGGCCGGTCCCCTCACAAAATTCGCCTGGCTACGGCCTGCCACCAACCGCGACCATATCTATCAGGAGGCCCATAAACGTCAGCGCCCGTCGCGCTTCAAACCCGGACTGTTGTAACCGGGAACGCGTGCTCGCAGTCCAACGCTCTACCGACTGAGCTACGGCACCGGCCAAAGAATTATGTATCATTTGTATTCATTTGCTAATTGCTATCCGTTTATTTTCTGATTTCTGATATCGACTGTTCTCTTTCAGAATTACGTACAATGCAAATACACATATATAAACTGACTGTCTCGACCAACAATCACAGCAAGCGCTTACAACGACGCTTTAACAGTAATTAACACCGGAAATAGATTGTAACAGTAATTAACACTGCAAATCAAGTGCAACAGTAACTAAAAGTCCAATTTTTTAAGCCTGTCTAATCGGTTAAAGGACTCTAATGAAAAACCCTCGTGAAAACTCAATAAGTTCATACACTGGCCAGTTGAAAATTTCATCTTTATCTTGATTTTTCTTTTGACTATTTATTGTAATAGCTGACTCGTGCCTTATCTTTTTGTGCACATAAAGCGATCAGACAGGCTTAATAAATCCTTCTATAACACCACAATATTAATTGTAGGGGAAGGTGGGGCAATACGGGCACTATTAAGAAAATAATGGATCAAAACTACTGTTCATGGTGCTGAGCAAGACTTTATGCCTTGCTGATGACGTGCCAGTGCATTTACTTGATCTGATATCCAGAAGCATTTGTGGCCAAATGGCATTTTCATATCCCATTTGGCAGAATTAACGCTGTGAAATGTGGCTTGTTTATTCGACTACCCAACCAACTAAACAAATTGTTACACGAACATTCGGAGGCAGACTTCTTCCAGCCGTCATGTCATTGGAGAGCACTACTGCTCCGCTTTGCGAGTAGTCAGGGCACTTTTAATGAGTGATATTGACTGATGTCAGCCAGCCAGCACTCTGCTAGTTACTTTCTGTGATCGCGTGGTGTATGTGTATGTATGCTGGGAGGGGGATTGTATGCGTGTAGGGGGAGGGTAGAGCGGGTTGAATGCCTGAGTGGGTGGGATGGGAAATTTTATTGCGACTGCAGCCTGAATGTGGGCCTCGCTCGGCCTGTGGTTGTTATGAATTAAATAAATGAATAAATAAATAAATATATGGGCTTCGATGATTTTCACCTATGCGTCATAGCAGCACAACAGTATTTTTAATCATTTTCCAAAAATAGCCGTTCTGCCGTATCTCTCAGCGCAAGGTGCCGTCGGTCATTCCCGAGGTAACGTCACGCCGGGGATTGCCAGATTTTCCTACTAGACTTCGACGCCACCTGGACGCCCAGTGTTGCCAGGTCGAGTGATGCCAATACCTCCAGAAAATGTTGTAAAAACCTCTAGAAACCTCTGTTCCATTGCCGCTGATTATATAAAGTATATATACCTACCTCCATACCTACCTCCGAATCACAAACCGTGGCGCCGATTCAAAGCACGCTGGCTGCCATCCGCTGCTAGCGCGTGATGACATCATCAAGCCCATTGCTCCAACACTACGAAAGGGTCTGTTCCAGTCGCACTTCCTAACACCTCTAAACTCCTCCAAGATTGCTTCCCTGTTCCAGTGTCACCTCTAGCCCCTACAAATCAAAGGAGGGCCCTGCTCCAACCTCCTCTATCTTGCCCTTGGAGGAGTTTAGATGTGTTAGGAAGTGGGACTGGAACAGACCCAAAGTGTGACGTCAGCGCGCTGGCAGCAGCTGGCAGTGGGATTGGAAACACCCGGTTGTATCCCCAATCAAGATCATTCACTCATCCTTCGCATGCCTTTGCATTTGTCCACATAACATAACTTGGTGGACTTGGTGCCCACCGTGGGCACCAGGTTTACATAGCCTTGGTGCCCACGGTATATCGAGAACTTTTAGCTGCAGCCGGCGGCCAGAGCCTCAATAGTGAACAAGCCAAAAGTAGGCTTATCGTTTCCATCAATCTGTAAAAAAGTGTGTTTAAGCATGCAATACTTAAAGATAATAACATGAAATTAAGTACCTAAATAGTTCTCAAGAGACCTTGATGCTAATTGTCTTTTCTGGGATTTTTAGATTACCTCTAGAAACCCCTCTAGAATCCGGCATTTTTCAAAAACCTCCAGGAGCCCCGAAACGCTCCCCTAAAACCTCTAGATCTGGAGGTTTACCTCTAGACCTGGCAACACTGTGGACGCCCCAAGACCGGCACTCGACGTCGATTCCTTTCAGAGCACCGGGAGACACCGGTTGGTCACGTGACTCGGAAACAAAAATCAGCTGATAGAGTGGCGGAATCGCCGTAATCAAACACGAATAGTTCCGGACGATAGAGCGGCAGTATAGGAGTTTTCTTCACAACAGGCAAACATTGCAATGTTTTATCATTTTATGATCAAGAAACGTTCATAAACCATATATTTCTTCGATGATTACTGCCGCAACCGACGCGCACATATCGTAGCCAGCGCATAAAGCTGTGCTTTGCGATATTAAATGTAAAGAAAAACATTCTATATCTTGCTTCAACCTTCTACTTACGCTTTTATAATTACGACAGCGACACCATACGGCCTATCAACGCTATGCAACTCCATGGAGTGTCCGGCCGCACTCTTCCGAGTGTGCCGAGATCAGAGGCGGACCATCCGCGGCACGTCCAGCTGCACTGCCCGGTCGCTGGGAGGGCGACACCTAGCGCCGCTCTGGCCGCTCGCTTCCGCGCACAACTAAGCTACCTGGCTACGCCTGTGGGGGGGGAGGAGGAAAACCAACAACAGTCTGATGAGCCAATGGAGTCTGCGAGCCGCGCCAATCAGCGCCCTTCCGCGCGCAGACGGGAGCTAGAGCTATTCATCTCCTTTCCTGTTTTCGCTGGTCCGCCAGTCACCAGCACCGTTCCGTACTCTCGATCGTAGCCATTCAGCCGTGTTGTCCTATACAACAACAGTCAGCAGCCTCGGATCGCGCCAGTCGGCCGCCAGAGAATCTATATTATCTATTTGCCGTACAGCATTGCAAGCGTTACAGTGTTTGCAGCCGGGTGTAATCAGTAGTTGACACATTTATGTTTTGTATCACAAAATTTAAAAATTCATTGAAATATATTCACTTTAATTTGCTTTTGATTCTTGACGCGGATTGTTAGCCCTTGCTACATCAAACAGCCAACATCCATATTTCTGTTTCCAGAGCTGCAGTGCTGGACACCGAAAGTACATTATGTTCTAATAATTCAATCCAAAGGTACATAGATTTCACGACAACCTTCTAGGTTCCAGAGCAAGTATTTTCTCGCCAGAAGCGCGCGATTGATTGCAGCTGGCGCGCTCACGATAACTAATATCGCGCTCGCCAAAACCTGCCGGTTACAGCCACTCACACCTTACTTCCAACCTCCGTCCCATTTATCATTTATTAGCATATCGAGACAGAATGAGACTACGGCATAATCGTCAAATTACATAACACAAATTGCGGGACGTCATCGGAGAGCCCGTTAAAAAACCAAACCCCAATCTCGGCCAACACCGTTGGAACGGGGCGGGGGGGGGGGGAGGGCTTGAAGCTGGGGGACGTATCGGCGTTTCCTTCATAGACACGGGTGTTTCGCAACGCTGGAGCGTCGAGCCGAATTCGTCTCAATCGCCGCACTAACACAGCAGCGCTGCGTAGCGCGCTGCAGTACGCTGCCGTGAAACAGGGCCCAGGAGTCGGATGGTCTCGGCGGCGGCGGCAGCGGTGACGGCGCTTGTCACCGTGGAGCCCTTGAACGACGCCGTCAGCTCGAGCACCGGCGACTAGTGACCTGTAACAGAGCGAGTCGCGTCACGTCACGTCGTCACCTTTCAGTCGCGACGGCCGTTATACAAACAGTTACTGAGAACATCACGTACCAGCCACGGCGACCGTCACATTACAGTCACGGTGATCGTCACACAGCAGTCACGGCGACCGTCACAGGTCACGACGGTCATCAAATACCAGCCACGGCGAGTATTCGTATTCGTATTCGTATTCGTATTCGTTTATTAGGGCTTTTCCAACAGAGTGGCTATTACGGCCCAGTCAGTACATGTAAATATCACATTGCTAAAAAAAAAACTATGCTAAAAAACACATAGGTACACACATATATCGGCACAAACATGCAAAGAATAAAAGAGTATAAGTCAATCAATGCTGCACTTTAAAATGCTCCATCAGCTGTCGCCTTGAGGCGGTCGCCGCCACCTCCCGCGGCAAGCCGTTCCAAGCTGCAGCAGCTCGGTAGGGAAACTGCCGCCTGGCCACCGCCAGGCGAACTCGGGGCAACTCGATCACCGCCGGGCCCGCGGCGACGGCGCGCGTTGCCCTCTCGGAGACGGAAGCGCGTGAGGGAAACATAGCTCGCAACGACTCGGGGGCAGCGGCGGCGAACAGAGCACGGTGCACATTGAGCGCATCACGACGCGCGATCATCTCCCGCACGCTGGGCCAGCCGAGCGCGGCGAGAGCAGGGGTCACGTGGTCATATTTGCGGAGGCCGGAGACCAACCGTGCCGCAAAATGCACCACCTTCTGCAGTCGATCCAGGCAGGTTTTGGATGCACCACCCCAGACTGATGAACAGTACTGGAGGTGGGGAAGGACGTGGGCTTGGACAAGGATTTTGAGGATGTCAGGAGAGAGGTGGTGACGAATTTTGAAGAGTGACACGAGGATTGCATTGGTTCGCCGAATGATGGAGGATATGTGTGGCTCCCAGCTCAGGGTTTGGTCAAGGAGAACACCCAGCACTTTGATATTTTTCGCTGGCCGAATATCTACGTCGTTTACTGTGAGGACAAAGTTCTTCACTTTATCAACAGAATTTTGCGTCCCAAGAAGAGTGAAACATGTTTTTTCTCCATTCATTTTCAAACTGTTCAAGCTAAACCAGTTATGAAGGTGTTGGATGTTCTCCTCAGCCCGGGACTTCAGCACTTGGATGTCATCGGGCTTGGAGGGTGCTGAGTCCAGGATTTGGGTGTCATCCGCGTAGGATATGAGGCGGCCATGGGGGAGGAAAGAGGTTAGGTCGTTGACGAAGGTGAGGAAGAGGATGGGGCCCACTATGGACCCCTGGGGGACGCCGTGGGAGAGTGGGAGTGCCGTCGAGGAGCGGACAAGTTGGGAACGGCCAGAGAGGTAGCTGCTGAACCAGCGGGATGAGATGCCATACCACTCGAGCTTGTTCAGAAGCAACGAGTGATCGACACTGTCGAATGCCTTGCTCAGGTCTACTGACGTCACCGCCGCAACGTGGCCGCCATCGACCCTGCGAGCCGCCCATTCGACAATGTCGAGTATGGCATCTTCAGTGGAGTGGGATGGGCGATAGGCATACTGGGATGGGGAGAGGATGTGGTTAGTGATGAGGTAGGAGGTGAGCTGAGAGCACACAACCTTTTCAAGGATTTTAGAGAGAGCTGGAAGGATAGAAATAGGACGATAGTTGCCAGGTTGGTTAGGGTCTCCAGATTTGTGAATGGGTGTCACATGGGCAACTTTCCATGCGTCAGGAAAGGTATGGGTGGAGATGGATGTGTTGATTAGATGAAGGATGAGTGGACCGACTGCAGGGAGACAGCTCCTGATCACAGTGATCGGGATGCCATCGACCCCGACGGCCCCCGACGCACTCAGCCGACCCACAGTCAAAATCAGGTCAGGCAGCGTTACACACTCAGGGGCGAAGGCACTCGCACACACACGGGGAGGACGAGGGCCAGCAGCAGGGGGGACGGCCCCCTGCGCGGCCAGCATGGCCTCTGCAGCCACACGCGCGCCGACACCGGCAAAATGCTGATTAAGCCGGTCAGCGCTCAGTGCGTCATGTCCATGATCTGGTGGCTGAGCGCCTCCGGAGCCTCGCGCAGACAAGTCAGCGCCATACTGCTTAAGGCGGCTCCAGAAGCGCCTCCCCGTGTCACTGCGCAACGACTCCGTTAGGTAAGACCTGCGCGCTCGTGATAGTAAAAGCTTCGCTCGGTTTCGAAGCCGCTTGTAGACCTCACGGTCAGCTACCGAACGTGTGACAGCCCATGCTCGCCGCGCCTCATCCCGCTCCGCCATGGCCTCCCTGACCGAATCGTCTCGCAGCCAGGGGCAGGCGGGACGCCGCATGGTTCTGTTTACAACAGGACAGTAGACATCTGCTATCGAGTTCCAGATACTCATAAAAACTGTCAGCTTTTCATTCACATCGGTGGCGGTGTAAAAGGGTCTCCAGTCAGTGCACATAATATCGGCACAGTATGACACAGTATGACTATAATATCGAGTATGACTCATAGTCACGTCTTCTGTCGCACACTCAGTCATAATTACAGTACATTAGCCTGTGCATAAACATCTCATCCAAGAAGTCCAAGCCCGATTATTACCCGCGTGGGGCTGCGGTTTGGTGGCGTGCGGCGACCGGCCCGACGGCTCAACGCCGGTGCTTACAGCGGGTCGATCCTGACCAGTTCAACTGGCAGCTCACCGACACGGACTGGACACCTGTGTTAAAGCAGCAGAGACCTACGGAGAAGTGGGAGGAATTTCGCAGGATTTTCCTATCACAGCTCGACACAGTGGCCCAGGCGTCCACGACTCGACACAGTGGTGACCAAGGCGCAGCTGCGCCCCCCCCCCCCCCCGTTCACACAATTACTGACCTGGAGATAATGTGATGGTTTCTGGACAATGTGGCTTGATACTGGCCACCACACTCTGCAACTTCCTGCCAGGTGACGTCCTTCAGCTGGATCGAACCGCTGTCTTCAGAACCGCCGACAGCAACGAGCCTGTTGAAAGATAACATGCTCAGAACTAAAAAACCACAAAGCATACAATGGAAACGACTAAGCTGGCCACAGGCACGGTACACAACGGCGGTCTTTTATGCTAAGAAAGTTCCATCGCCACAAAAGATTGCAAATGGCTATGTTATAAAAAAAACTCAGATATCACATATCTAGTCTGATAATGGATACCTGGCCGCACGTCATCTGGATGGCAGCATGGCTTGAGCTGTGTGCTTTGGCATTTCCATGGTGAGATTGGGCCCCATGCATGGCGCTGGTGTTTCGTCTGCATGTGCATGTCTGCATCTACTGATCTGGGGTCCAGTTTCCAAGATCTATTGAGCGTGCTGGGCTGCTAAGTTAATAGGTATATGACACTACGCATTCGCGATGGTCCAGTGATAAAATTGTAGTAAATGGATTTTCTCCTCAGTCCTCTTCTTTTATTTCAACCCTTATTTCTCACTGCCGTTTGGCTGAGGCACCTTGAGGCTTGATGCAGAACGAGAATGCCCATGTCGTGTGGCACACCTTTGATGAGCGTCTGTCCCAGCCAGCATCTGTTAGCAGTGGCTAGGTGGCTGTGCATTAGCAGACCCCTCTGTCAAGCTGACTTGGCTCAGAAACTAGCAGGAGGTTGAGTGTGCATCCTACGATGGGTAGCTGCTCATCTATGTGGCTCTGTGACACAGGATCAGCCTGAGAGAGAAGAAAGCCAGTCAAGGCAGTAATGGGATGTTGCCAGACTGGCAAAATAGTAAGTACTATGCCACAAATTACAAAATCAATTTAAAGTTTTGTTGGGTTGGGCTCTTTTAAGTTTTGGCCCAAAAAGACTACAGAGTTGGAGGAATGATAGGAATTAGGGGGAGCTATTGGTATGGGCAAGCACCCTGGTACAAATCATTGGGGCTGAGCCCATCCCAGTGGACAGGGCACCCAGCCCCTGACACTGCACCTGGCTCCGTGTATGCTCCTAGGGGAGCTTCCCACATGGGATGAAAGTGTCTGCCCAGCCCAGAACAGGGGGTTGAGGCATAGAGAAGGATTTCTGGTATTCATATAGCAGGCATCTCACATGCTGCCACCCATTTGTGAAGTCGCTAGACTCTCCAGTTCTTGAAACATTTACACAAAATTTGCTTTTAAATCTAATCAAATACCTACCTAGTCTAAGAGAACAAAACATTATCTAACCTGACCTAACCTTACCTACTAAACTACAACCTACGGTTTATGGTAAAGCTGGCGTCACCGTCAGTTGGTAGGGTGTAGGCCGTAGGGTATAAGTTAGTATGTTAATAGCCAATAGGTAAGGTTAGGTAAGGTTAGATTGTTTTTAAATTTCAGCTTCCTTTTATCTACACTTTTACTGGCTAGAGCTGAAGGTGACTCCAGCTTTATTGACACCCCATCAAGTCCGTCACCAGGGTGGTGTTTCACCGGTGATAGCAGCACGCTGCTATTCTGCTGATGTCACACTTGTGGTTGTGTTGGAGCAATGTGAATGGGGCTTGTTGATGTCTCCATGGAAACCTAATTTGACACATGTAATAGCAGCGTGCTGCTATCACTGTCACCGGTGAAACACCACCCAGGCCAAACTCGCACCACGCTACACTAAAACTGCGCTGCACCAAGCCAAATCTGCAACGCACCAAACCCACACCAGCTGAACAACCCCACGATGACAACATCTCGTCGAAATTGCCATGCTTCGGCAACTGGCCGTTGGGGTAGAGCAGACTACATACTTGGTAGGATAATTACCACAACTACAAGACAAATCAATCAAAACATCAACTACCTTTGGCCTTGGCCTAGTTACCTTTTACCTATTTTGATTTGAATCTCAACTGAACCACAGAATTCAGAAAAGGATCTAAAACACAAAATCACCCAGCCTGGTGCTCGCGCAGGCAAAATCTCAGGGAAAAAAATAAGTTTTAAAAACAAGGTACCAAACCAACACCTACACTGTAAACCAAATTGACAAGTCTTGTGTAATATAACCAATCATCTCTTGGTATGTTTACCAACTGATACTTTTCAAACAAGCCGTTGTCTGGTGCATTGCTTGTCAGGTGACAACTACGAGTCAATAGTTACTATGCACACCAACTTCTCAGTATCCAGACCAACTCTACATTTGTTTCAACGTTTGTTTCTTAACCAGTTTTGGAAACTTGTTGCCGCATGGTTATTTAACCGGCGCCTAACTTGTACTGGTCAGCTGGTCAGCATACACATGGTCAGCTGCGCCCGTGACGTCAGACTTGGCGGACCAATCAGCGGTCGCCGTCCGGCCCCGGCGCGGCGGTTTCAAACCGTTCAAACCAGCAGTTGTCGCGCGGCCGCCGTGCAGCATGGATCAGCGACGAGGGCTGTTCCAGCATTTGTGCAGTAAAAAGTGAAATCTGTGAACTGTGGTGTTCGTGCTGTGAGTGAGGCCCGCTCTGGCCTGCGGGACGCACTAATCGTGCCTATACCCGCGGTCGAGACGCCTCCCTTGAAGGGTTGTATACGACTCAATCAATAGCAATCAATTCAATCACGACAAATTTGGGAAACCAATCAAATCAATCAAGTCAGAGCAGTTTTCGGGAATTGATTCAATCGACTCAAACGCGACAATGAAAGGAATCAATCAACTCAATCAAACGACTCAAACCAAGACATACACTAGGTTTTTTGCCCCACCAACTTGGAAAAGTGTCCATAGCAGTCTGGTGTACCTACCTACCTACCTACCTACCTACCTACCTACCTACAGAAGAAACATAAACATATCGTCATTTAAAATTATAAATTGCCATGCCATTCAAAGTTTCTATGTAATAAGGAAGGATACCTAGTGATGGACAGGTGGATCATGATATTGAGGTTCAATGGGTAGAATTGGAGCAGAAGTTTCATTTAATGGGTGCAAAATAACCCAGTAGTTGACTCGCCCCTTAACCCAAATCACCACCTTTCACATAAAAGTTGTCAATTTAACTTTGGCCATATTCCAACTCAATTTACACTAAATATCAGATATTGCAGTTGAAAGTTGGCTGCTCGGATTTTGGCAGTGTTCGTGATTTAGCCATTTACGCTATACCATGTCTATTTTAATGGATAATATGCATCAATAACATATTAACCATAGGGAAATAGAAATAAATATCTTACCTGCATGTGACAGTTTCGGTTAGACAGAGACTGAGGGGCAGCCTGAAATATTTCCACACAATGTGCATTTGAGACGTGGGATGTTGTCAGATTGGGAAGGAAGAGATTTGAAGTATTTAGCGGTCCACGACTCTGGACGTGGCATGTCAATGTTAGGTACCTATGTGAAGAATTCAAAACATTTTATCGCAATACAATTTGAAACTGTTAGGACTGGGGGATAGGGATGAGGATTAAAAATATATTTAAAGGAAATGGAGAGAACAGGGACTCTGGAACCACAGGATGTTTTGCCAATAAGTTTGCTAAGCTTTTATAAATCCTTATTCTACGTCTTTTGATTTTTTGGTAAGATGACGTCATTGATTATGATGTAGTATGGTAGATCATCATAAAATAAATCGGTTGTACAACACCAATTTTGTTTTAATTATTATTTCATTTGAAATAAAACCACTTAATAATATTCGGTAAAATATTTCAAGGAAAATGAAATATATTAAATATGTTATGCTTAGGCTCTCAGGAGAAAAGAATCAACAAACGTTCTGCTGCAAATAAAACAATGCAGCAAATTAGCTATTGATTAGGTACACGTAATTAGCGAGACGTAAACGGCGCTTTTGTTTCAGTTATTTTTGTAGGGGTTTCAGATATTTATAGAGTTCAGTGGGTTGTTTCTGTGGAGATGTGAATTATTAATTATTTATACACTTTATAAGTATATAGGGCCTTGCACTTTATCATCTGGATTTAAAAAAAGTTTCCTGCTGAGTGCAGAAAGGTAGGTAGGTGCATCGCCAGGCTATCACCAGGATTGGAGCAGTTATTGCAGTTGAAAGTCAAAGTTGGCTGTTCATGTTTAGGCCCTGTTCTTCATTTGGCCATCTACCCCATATTGCAGTTGTGATGACAATCTGTTTTCAGCGGAGTTTTGTGATCTTTGATGTCATCAATTGGTGTCATTATTTTTCGTCAACTAAAACTTAATTGAACTTTCCATTCAATCGACTCAATCATACGAGTCACTCTAATTTTCGGGAATCAAATCAGTCAACCAGTCGCTAAAGTCAAACGAGTCAGTCAACCAGTCATCTCGAAAAGTCAATCGACTCAATCCAATCAACTCAAAATACGCGTTGAAACAAATCAATCAATTCAATCGACTTGATTGGTATACAACCCTGCGTCCCTTCCCCTGCGCGCGCAATGTAAGTGGGCCAGACCTTTGCATGCACATGTGAGCAGATGTTTTGCGGTCGGTGTTTTTTATATATAAATACATTTATTTGCCTTTAATTCAGCTCTTTGTATTTTTAACTTAACTGATGGACATATATGGGCTGTAAAAGCTAATCTGGTTGGCGATCATGATTTATTCGAATTATCTGCGTGATCGTGCAACTGCCATGATTGTTATGGTCAATGTGGAAATATTCGTCATACGGGCATGTTATACTTCTGGCTTGATGCGATGCACAAAACCATGTTCTTCCACATACGCAGCAGTTCTTGCTTCAAGGACTTATATGCTGACGGTGCACGATAGGTATACCTACCTCATGCATTTACCACATCCATTCGAAAATATGCACTTGGAATTGTCTCCAGTCAATAGTATTAATTACATACTACGTGATGTAGGTACGTGACCGTAATAAATACTAATGATTCCAGAAACTTCCGAATGGATGTGGTGTATGCATTCATCGATTATATAACCCATCAGTATTTCGTTTCTTGTCAGCGCAAGCCTTTGAGCAATAACTGATGCCAGTCATGGTTTTGTGCACCACTTCCAGCCAAAAAATGACCTGTCCGTATAGAAAATATTTCCTGAATCAGTATCGTGGCAATTGAAAACGAACGCGAATCGTAAGTTCTTAAGGTTATCAACGCAAACAAAGCGATTGTAAGGAAGAACAAGTTCGAACTGAGCGTTAGTACACTTACTTGTTGACAATTTGTAAACTAGCAATGCCCAGTCAAAGGCTAGTTCATCAACAAACCAGGGGTTGTTGAACCGACAAGGAAACGGCTATGCCTATCCAGAAGTTGGTAGGTTCACAAGGCCCAGACTAGTACTCAACAAGGTGACGCCTATGCGAATTGGAACCAAACTTGTAGACAAACTGTTAGTTTGTTGGCCAACAAGCCTGGGGTTGGTGAATCGACAAGGTATCGACAAGGTGACGCCTATGCGAATTGGAACCAAACTTGTAGACAAACTGTTAGTTTGCTGGCCAACAAGCCTGGGGTTGGTGAATCGACAAGGTGACGCCTATGCGAATTGGAACCAAACTTGTAACAAGGAGCCAACTTGTAGATTTGGTTTACAGTGTACCTTCCATTATTTATAGTCACAGTGCCTTCCATCTTTACCTAACAAAATCAAATCAAATAACAGAGCCCATTATAGAGTTCAGTGTAACAGACAAAACAAATAACATAACCGATGACAAAATACAAATTAAAACAAAGGTGTTCTCCATCAGCAAACGAAATGCCGTTCAACCAATCGAATGCAAAGACATGCGTCTGCTAGCGACAGAGGTATATTAGCAGCATTTACAGTACAGTGGACAAAGCACAACTGAGGGTGGTCTGCGGTTTTCAATACCGAAATTCGTAAATTTCCCAAGTTCATCTTGTTTTCTGACTCATATCAAAAGATAGAGAATTCTTTTATGTTAATTATTAAGCTTGAACCAGACACCGACATTGTCTTGTTTTTTAGTAATATTCCATTAATTGTCATAGTGTTACCTTCAGCAGAATGGAAGATCATTCATTCTAGACCAAAAAATACACCTTACATCTTCGAAACTGCAATGAGATATGCGGACTTTTAAAGAAAATTGAATTCTCATTTTGATATAGACGTTTTAAGAGCATATGCCTAACAAGTTTACCAAATACAGATGTTTTTGCTCAGGAGTAATCGGTTCCAAAAAATATAAGTTCGAGATTCATAAATACATTTCTAAAATTTCCCAACATCATAGCGCTTCAACATTTTGATAGGTAGTAGCGTTAACAATTTTGTAATTTTTGGTAAATGTTTTAGACACCGACATAGTCTAGTTTTAGAAAAATATTACATTTAGTGGAACAGGGTGACCAAGGACACCAATGGCGGTGGTGCATTCAACATCAACTAAATGCAGTTTCCAATGCTTAAAAAGCAACAAAACTGACATAATCTGAAAGAAAATTTAATTTTGATCTTTATTGACCATGATTGAAGCCCCACATCACTGAAATTACTCGACAATTCAGGGTAGAGCATTGGCAGGTCCGGTAGGCTGAACAGCTCAGAACCATGATAATTTCGAAATTGAATGAAAGGGTGTCGGCCTTTGATATTACTTTTTGTCCTTCAATTTTAATTTTTGATTGTGAAAAATTAATTTTGTCCATGAGCAAGCTTTGCGTTTTAAGATATACTAGAGGTACAGGTTTACGCGATAACTGTATGTTTTGATTTATGTTATGTTACGGGTGCATTAGTTTGGGTGATTGACTTGTATTTTTAGATGTATTATTTGGATCGATTTGGGTAGCTGTTTTTAGTTAAACTGTAAGGGTTGGTGATAGTTGCGGGGTGTTCAAGTGTTTTGTATGTTGGGCCCTTTTTGAACTCAACCCTACCCCTACCCTACCCTACCCTACCCTACCCTACACTAACCTACCCTACACTACCCTACCCTACCCTACCATACCCCACCCTACCCTACCCCTACCCTACCCTACACTACCCTACCCTACCCTACCCTACCCCTACACTACCATACCCTACCCTACCCTACCCTACACTACCCTACCCTACCCCTACACTACCTTACCCTACCCTACCCTACCCTACCCTACCCTACCCTAAAATCCCCTACCCTACCCTACCCTACCCCTACACCACCCTACCCTACCCCTACACTACCCTACCCTACCCCTACCCTACCCTACTCTACCCTACCCTCCGCTACCCTACAATCCCCTACCCTACCCTATCCTACCCTACCCTATCCTACCCTACCCTACCCTATCCTACCCTACCCTACAATCCCCTACCCTACCCTACCCTACCCTTACACTACCCTACCCTACCCTACCCCTACCCTACCCTTATACCCCTACCCTTACACTACCCTACCCTACCCTACCCTACCCCTACCCTACCCTTATACCCCTACACTATACCCTACCCTAAACTACCCCTGCACTACCCTACCCTACCCTACCCTACCCTACCTCACCCCTACTCTACCCTACCCTACACTACCCTACCCTACTCCTACCCTACCCTACTCTACCCCCACCCTACCCTATACCCTACCCTATACCCTACCCCACCCTACTCTACCCTACTCCTACCCTACCCTACCTTACCCTACCCCTACCCCTACCCTACCCTACCCTACCCTACCCTACCCTACCCTACCCTACCCTACCCTACCCTACACTACCACCGACAGTCCAAGTTTCAGCTAAATCGGCCCAGAAACGGCTGAGATATTGCAAAATCAAATTAATTTGTATTTACTGGCGAATCTCCTTGACGAGCGGTGCCTTGTGTCGGCCTTCGTTGTCAAAGGTCAATGACCTGCCGGCTCTGATTATTTCCACTTAGTTTGGCAAGCGAACAACTGAGCCTAAAGCACGTGCCTTCTGCTCGGCACCGGTCGCGGCCCCACCACGTGCACACCGCTGAACCCACCCCCTCGAAAATTTAATACGACAAATGAGTGCACGCGACCGACTTACAGCGAAAATTTCACCCCCGTAGCCCTTACCGTTCGCGAGCAATAGCCTGTTGCCGATTCTAGTGTAAACCCTATGGCACACCACGTGAGCACGCGCCACGGGCGCACCCCCGGCCGCATCGTGCCCAAAATTTAATACAACCTGTTGAATGACGCGACCCACGAGTGGCAAAAATTTCACCCTCCTGCGTCAATCGACGGCGCCGTAATAAGCCATTTTGGGAGTAACCCCGACGGCGGCGGACTTTTTAGGATTTATAATATAGACTACCCCTACACTACCCTACCCTACCCTACCCTACCACACTACCCTACCCTATCCTACCCCTACCCTACCCTACCCTACCCTACCCTACCCTACACTACCATACCCTACCCTACCTTACCCTAACCCTACCCCTACACTGCCCTTCCCTACCCTACCCCTACCCTACCCTACCCCACCCTATCCTACCCCTTCACTACCCTACCCTACCCTACCCTACCTTACCCCTACCCTACCCTACCCCTACACTACCCTACCCTATCCTACCCCTACCCCACCCTACCCTACCCCACCCTACCCTACCCTACCCTACCCCTATCCTACCCTACCCTACCCTACCCCTACCATACCCTACCCCTACCCTACCCTACCCCTACACTACCCTACCCCTACACTGCCCTTCCCTACCCTACCCCTACCCTACCCTACCCCACCCTACCCTACCCTACCCCTTCACTACCCTACCCTACCCTACCCTACCTTACCCCTACCCTACCCTACCCCTACACTACCCTACCCTATCCTACCCCTACCCCTACCCTACCCTACCCTACCCCACCCTACCCTACCCTACCCTACCCTACCCTACCCTACCCTACCCTACCCTACACTACCACCGACAGTCCAAGTTTCAGCTAAATCGGCCCAGAAACGGCCGAGATATTGCAAACACGAATTAATTGTATTTACTGGCGAATCCCCTTGGCGAGCGGTGCCCTGTGTCGGCCTTTGTTGTCAAAGTTCAATGACCTGCCGGCTCTGATGCTTTTCACTCAGTTTTTTAAGCGAACAACTGGGCCTAAAGCACGTGCCCTCTGCTCGGCGCCGGTCGCGATTCTAATGCTATCCCTATGGCGCACATGAGCACGCGCCACAGGTGCACCCCCGGCCGAATCGTGCCCAAAATTTAATACGACCTGTTGAATGACGTGACCCACGAGCCGTGAAAATTTCACCCTCGTGCGTCAATCGACGGCTTTGCAATAGCCGTTTTTGGGAGTAACGCCGGCTGCGTAACCCCGACGGCGGCGGACTTTTTAAGATTTATAATAGTAGATATTTTCGTTAATGCTTCACAGGTTCATACATGACGTGTTCTGTGATCATAAATCAAAAATATATATACAAATCGTAAAACTCATCGAAATTTGTTGCTTAGTTCTCTTTTTTAGACTTAAAAGGTCAGCTGAAAATAGTGGTCAAAATACCTTAAGGCCGGGCTCCACTACGCGTTTTTTTACGCGCGTTTTATCCGAGACATCGGTTTTTGCGTGAAATCGGTTTTGCAATTTGTCGGTTTTTGCGTGATATCGTTTTTTGCTTGTCATCCTGAAGCACGTGACATTGTTGTCATTAAACCCAGGCTCCACTACGCGGAAAATCACACTTTGTTTATTTTGAGCCTATAAAGAAGGTGTTTTGCAAGGCTATAGAACTCCGTGTTTTGCAAGTAGGTACAAAGTAAGCTAAACTATTATAAAATTTGTCTGAAGGGTTGAGTGGGTGGCTTTGAGCCCGGGTGCCCACTAAGCAGAGATTGTTGCATAGCAGCATGGTCCCACCAATCAATCTTCATTCTTCACCCGCACCCAGTTCATGTTCAACAAGTGGATGGCAGCACGGCACAAGGCTGGGCTTTCTCACGCCGGAGCCTCTGTGCTCGGCGTGTACATTCCTTTTGATGTACCTGTTTGTTTTTTGAAAGGCACAAATGACAAAATTGAGCAGAATTTGATGCTGAAGTGTCTTGCACATGTTGCTAGCCTTGCACCCATGATAAACTTGCTTAAATACATAACTTGTTTCATAGCTAGCCACTGGTGGCTGAAGAGGGCAAGGGATTTTTTTTTATTCTTAACATTCCGCCTACCTATGGCAATGCACCAGACTGGAAAACATCCATACACTAGCTAGGCGCCCGTGAGACCCTCATGCGCCGAAACTTGACACAAGCAATTTTGAGCTGAAATTTCTGCATCACTTACCATGAAAGTTGGGTGCCTATTTGTGCCGAAATAATCCACTTTTACATAAAGCGTGTGTGCACTGTGCACATCTACCGACCACTCATCTATCACCACTCCGCCAATTTCTATTTGAATCAAAAACATTTTCCCCTGCATTGACACTGCTTTAAGCGCAAAATGATGTAGGGTTGCTATGTTTATCATTTCTTACCTTCACTCATCCTCTTTACACTAAAAAACTTCTACAAAAATTTCCTAGCTTCAACACAATAATTAAAAACATATTTAACAACGTCAAAAACAAACACAAAAGTACATTCACATTGTTTGCCGCAGCGCGCAAGTCATGTCTCCCGGCCGAGATCACGCAAAAAACGATGAAAAGTTCAAATAATTGAACTTTTTATAGGTACGAGATTTCCGAGTTTGCGTGACATCGTCATGCGTTTTACCGAGATTTCCTTAAAATCGGTACGGAATTTGCAAGTTGTCGTGTTTTGCGTGACATCGTTCCCAGTGTAGCTTGCCCAATGTTGAGCAATGATGCGAACTTTTTTTTTTCGGGAACGATTTCACGCAAAAACCGATGTCTCGGATAAAACGCACGGAAAAAACGCGTAGTGGAGCCCGGCCTTTAGTGTTGTAATTTCGAACCGGTTTTACCTAGTT